TATTACATTTTGTGATACTGGCATGAATATATGGAGTGATGTAATATCATTACAGCCAGTTACATAACATTTTATGTTGTAGGAAGTTTGCTCAGCAGAGCTTTTATTTCTTGCACTGGGTACTAGGGTAGAGAACATATCTTTGATTTAATATTGCCACTGAAATTCACAAGGTACTAAATGTTTTATTTGTTTGTGGGCTTTTCCCAGGTTTATCTAAGGTGCTTCAAGCTTCAATAAAAGTCAAATAAAACTGGAAAAAGTGGAAGTTTTTTTTTTCCATAAGTAATCTTATTATGGTGAAAGATATGTATATATTTTCATGGCATTACTGAGGAAAATTCACATTTCATTATGTATACAACATTTTGATAATGGACGCCCATACAAAGGATTGAATATCTAAATAGAACACATTGATAACATGAGAACAGCCCTAAGACTAAGTGATGGCCCTGCACCCATAGGGCTGCAGTCACACTATTTTCAGGAAATTACGTTAATAATACTCACAGTAATAATAATAATAAACTTAGTTTATACAGCACTTCTCAAAGTGTTCATGTAAATTGTAAAAAATAGCCACAACTACCATCCTGGGATCCAGTGGTTACTGTAATTGCAACATTCCAAGATACTAAATATATTGTTTTAATGCCGAATGGTTCCTTTTAGATTGTGTTATTATTACTATTATTCGGGTGCATTAACATATAAGCAGCATTTTAATGCTGTCGAAGGTTGTTGAGCCACTTCTTTAGGCTGGTGGCTTCTTTAAGCTAATTTATAACAACACTGCAGAATACAATGCACTTTACAGGCTGATCAGATGTTTTGTATCTAAAGTATTGATCGCAGAGTCATTTTGAGCTATAATTGTCAGATGAATGAAGTGGAGTAAAATGTACAATATCATCCCTTGCAATATAGCAGAGTAGAAGTAGAATAAAATGGAAACTTTAATAGCCAATGAAGACTGAAAGAAGAGGATTCTTCAAATAATTTTGTCAATGTGCCAAAATTGTATACTATTTGAGTTGGAAACCTATGTTCTATTTTCTTAATATATCCTAATGTAGTAGAGTAAAATGTACAATATTTCGCTCTGAAATATAGTAGAGTAGAAGTATAAAGTAGCATAGAATGGGAATTCTCATGTAAAGTACAAGTACCTTATAAAATGTAGTTACAGTACTTGAGTAAAGTACTTTCCACCACTGCAAACTACTATTTTGAAAGCCGTCAATTACATTTCAGTATCAACTTACAATTTATTTATAAAAAATAAGTACCAGATCCACTTCGACTTTAATAAGTCTATAATAGGCCTATATGACTTTTTCAAATTACTTTTTCTGTTATTTATACATCTATGTGAATATATTAATAAAATACTCAGTATTTGATGCTGTATTGATGCAATACCACATTTTTGGCCTTTTATAGTCTTTCTCACCCGACCTGGAAAAAACTGCAACCAGTTCTGTTTATTATAGTGTACCGCGCTCCTGGCCCGTACTCTGATTTTTTATCTGAATTCTCAGAGTTTTTATCAAGTTTAGTCCTTAAATCAGATAAAGTAATTATTGTAGGTGATTTTAATATTCATGTGGATGTTGACAATGACAGCCTTAGTAATGCATTTATCTCATTATTAGAGTCAATCGGCTTCTGTCAGAGTGTAAATAAACCCACTCATTGTTTTAATCACCCTCTGGACCTCGTTCTTCCATATGGCATTGATTGTAAACATTTAATACTCTTCCCACAAAATCCTTTTCTATCTGACCATTATTTAACAACTTTTGAATTCATATTACTAGATTATAAGCCATTAGGCAAAACTAAAAATTTAAGGAGGAGATTATATCAGTGTTTAATTCAATGCCATGTCTGAATATAACAGAGGATTCCTACAATAACTTTAGTCCCTCCCAAAGTGCTCATCTTGTCAATAGTGCTGCAGGCTCACTGCGAAGAACACTAGATTCTATCGGCCCTATAAAAAGGAAGTTATTGGGCGCCTGGTTAGCTCAGTTGGTAGAGCTGGTGACCCATGTACTGAGGCTGAGTCCTTGCTGCAGCGGCCCAGGGTTCGAATCCGACCTGCTGCCCTTTGCTGCGTGTCATCCCCTCTCTCTCTCTACCCCCCTTTCCTGTCTGTCTTCAGCTGTCCCTATCAAATAAAGGCGAAAGGCCAAAAGAATAACTTAGAAAAAAGGAAATGATTAAATCATAGGAGGCTAGCACCGTGGAACAACCACCAAACCCGCCAATTAAAAACAAAAACTGTGGAATTCTGAAAGGAAATGATGCTCTTCCAAACTATTAGAATCACGTTCAATCTGACAAGATAGTCTTAAAATATATAGAAAGGCCCTCCGTAATGCCAGAGCAGCCTATTATTCAGCACTAATAGACGAAAATAAGATACATAATAACAGCCCCAGGTTCCTCTTCAGCACTGTAGCCAGGCGGAGAGAGTCACAGCTCTATTGAGCCACGTATCCCCATAACCCTCAGTAGCAATGACTTTATGAGGTTCTTTTATGAAATTTTTTTTACTATTAGAGACTAAATTAATCATCAAATGCCTTCAACAGGTATCACTGTCTCTCAAAATACAGGAATTTTAACAAACGTAAAATCAGGTATACTCTTAGATTTTTTTTATGTTATCGATCTGCATCAGTTAACTTCAATAATTTCTTCATCGAAGTCTTAACCTGTCTCTTAGACCCGATCCCTAATAGGCTGCTTAAAGAAGTCGTACCCTTAGTTGGCACTTCTTTACTCGATATGATCAATCTTTCTTTACTGTCAGGGTATGTACCACAGTCCTTTAAAGTAGCTGTAATTAAACCCCTTCTTAAAAAGCCCACTCTTGACCCAGGGGTTTTAGCTAACTATAGACAAATCTCTAACCTCCCCTTCCTCTATAAGATTCTGGAGAAAGTAGTCGCCAGACAGTTGTGTGACTTTCTACATAACAATAGCTTCTTTGAGGATTTTCAGTCAGGATTTAGAGTTCATCACAGCACAGAGACAGCTCTGGTTAAAGTTAATAATGACCTTTTAATTGCCTCCGACAATGGATTTGTCTCTGTACTTGTATTATTAGATCTTAGTGCTGCATTTGACACCATTGACCATAATATTCTTTTACAGAGACTTGAGCATCAAATTGGCATTAAAGGAACCGCACTAAGCTGGTTTAGGTCATACTTATCAGATCGCTCGCAGTTTGTACATGTTAACGATGAATCTTCAATAAATACTACAGTTAGTCATGGAGATCCACAAGGTTCTGTACTTGGACCAATACTATTTACTTTATATATGCTCCCTTTAGGCAACATTATTAGGAATCACTCCATTAACTTTCACTGTTATGCAGATGATACGCAGTTATATCTATCGATCAAGCCTGATGAAATTAATCAATTATCTAAATTACAAGCATGTCTTAAGGACCGAAAAACCTGATGTTAAACTCAGAGAAAACTGAAGTTCTTGTACTTGGCCCCAAACACCTCCAAAACTTACGGTCTAAAGATATAGTTACTCTAGATGGTATTACCTTGGCCTTCAGTACCACCGTCAGGAATCTTGGAGTTATCTTTGATCAGGATTTGTCATTTAACTTCCACATAAAGCAGACCTTTAGGACTGCCTTTTTTCAGTTCATGCATTTGTTACTTCTAGGCTGGATTACTGCAATTCCTTATTATCAGGCTGCCCCAATAAGTCCATTAAGATGCTCCAATTAATTCAGAACGCTGCAACACGAGTACTGACAGGAACTAGGAAAATAAATCAAATCACTCCTGTATTAGGTTCTCTGCACTGGCTCCCTGTTAAATTCTGACTCACCTATAAAGCTCTTCATGGTCAGGCCCCTTCATATCTTAAAGAGCTCATAGTACCCTATTACCCCACTAGAACATTACGTTCTCTGAATGCTGGGCTACTTGTGGTTCCTATAGTCTCTAAAAGTAGAACAGGAGCCAGAGCCTTCAGTTACCAAGCTCCTCTCCTGTGGAACCAGCTTCCAGTTGTGGTTCGGGAGGCAGACACCCTCACCACATTCAAGAGTAGGCTTAAGACGTTCCTCTTTGATAAAGCTTATAGTTAGGGCTGGATCAGGTGAGTCCTGAACCATCCCTTAGTTATGCTGCTATAGGCCTAGACTATCAGGGATTTCCCATGATGCACTGAGCTCCTCTCTTCCTCTCTCTTTCTGCACTCATTCATGTCCCATTAATGCATGTTACTAACTTCACTTCTTCCCCGGAGTTCTTTTGCTTTCTCGTCTTGCAGGTTCTCATGGATCCTGGTGGAGCCTCCTGCCATGGTCCTGCTTGACTCCCACTGCTAATATCACTGATATTATTATTATTATTATTATTATTATTATTATAGTTACTATTACTATTGTCCATTTTCCCCCATCGCTGTGGCTGTCATCATCATCATCATCATCAGTCATTTCTATTAGTGTAGTTGTTGTGCTCTGTCTCTGTCCTTCTCTCTTCCCTCTGAAAAGTGTCCTGAGATAACTATCGGCGCTTTACAAATTAAATGTAATTGAATTAAAATAGGAAAGACAAAGGGACCCACAGAGATGGTCGTACTCCCACCAGTAGATGGCAGTACGTGCTGTTAAAAAGATGTGAACACAGAAGGTGATGCTACGGAAACAAGTAAAAATTGGTCTTATTTGGAATTTTACCTCGTTAAATATTAGGTTTAAATATAATATGAAGCATATGATATTACTATATGAACGTATTTATTCGTGGCATGTAGATTTAACACACTACAGCATTTGTTTTTATGTCGGTTTATAGTCATTTCCCTCTGTTTTATGTTTGTTTTTACAATATGAAATATGTTAACTGTATGTTCAGGCTTGTTAGAAACTACTTTTCTACATTTTGCAGAAGTATAAATAAAGCCAGCAGCGGATGTTACATGGAGAGGAAGGGCTTGTCCTCACATGTGATTAGTGGGTGTGTGTTGTCTTTTCCCCTCATTCAGTGCGACGTTTTTATTAAAGTTGTAAGATGGCGACGGTGCATCTGAGGATCGGGGACCTAGTGTGGTGAGATACATTTTAACGTTGTCAAACGCCTCTGTTTACGCCAAAGGTAGCAGTGCTGCATAAAGTAGTGCTGTAATGGTTAGTTGAACGTTAAGGTGTCGTGTTGCTGTTAATTAATGGAAGTGTCCGCTTACTGGGCTAGTTGATGGTCAACCCAAACAAATGGTTAGCATAGCTGACTCAGCCAGCAGTCGTCGTTAGCTGCTAGCTAGCGGACAAGCTACAGCAAAGGGGTCTCTACCGTAACGAGATAGTTTGTCCGGATACAAAGCTGTCTTTTTAAATTCTGATGTGTTTGTATGTAAAGCTCGCCAAATAAGTGTTACTTTTAAAATGTAAAATGTGGTGGTCTGTGACGAGTTTTTCTAGCACCGTAAGTTAGCTTAAGCGGATATCTGTGTTACTGTAGGTAAGTTAGCTTCGCATATTGTCGGGTTCCGTGTTAACTGTTTGAGCTCTTTCTCTGCGCTCACCACTCGTTTATCTAACGTTATGTTGATTTGCAAGTACCCTTTAGAGTCTGAATTTAGGTTTATTTAACCCGAATGGTTGGCTGTGGTTATTTGTGTGGAGTAGAACGTCAAACCGGTCGTCTCATGTTGCCTTGTAGCAGTTTGTGTCAACAAAATGACATTACATAAGTTACAGTAGAGCTAAACGAAATATTGTTGCACCTTTTTGTCACTTAAGACCCCATTTATCGACATCTTTCTGTAACTTAACACCAGCTGTTCAAGCAGCCATGGTCAAAAAGTCCTGTAGGATTTTCATCTTTTCCAATAGAATCCTTTAGGATTCCCATAAGTTTCTAAAAATCCTTCAGGAGTTCTATAGAAAGAAACGTGCTTCTATTTTTAGTCCTATTAAATGCAAAATGTGGTTTTCTGTTGGTGCCAATAAAATGACTTTGGATTCCTATACATCTTATTGGAAATCTGTTGGGATTTGTTTTTAAATCTTTAACATCTGCATTCATTTTTACAAGAATAACCATAACTTTTGTTCCTTATTAAAAATCTAACTTGGCTATAGATTCTTGGAAAATCAACTACAAATAACTTGAAAACCTTCACATGAATTAAAGTTCTGTCAGCAAATAATACACCATGTGATACTGCAAGAAATTAAAGATAATATTAGGGCTGGGGGTAAACTATTATTTATTAAACGATTAATCGGACGATTATTTTATCGATTAGTCGACTAATTGGACGACTAATTGGACGATTAACGTGAGTTAGCTAACGTTAAACAGATAACGTTAAAAGCTACTGCAATCCTCTTGCTACCGTTAGCTAGATCTAGCAGCTGTGCACTTTGGTGGTGCTAGGCTAACCAACGCGTCTTAGCTCTCTCTCTGAAACGGAGGCACCGCTTTGCCACTCGCGAAGGAGACAACAACAAGCACCAACGCTGGCCAAATCAATCTCATGCCTGTGCAGTGCGCCACGCAGCCCGAGCTCCACGCACTCCGGTTGTGCCAGCCAATCACCCCAGCAACCCGCGCAGCCCGCCCGCGGCAGGCCAGCAGCCGAAGCCCACGCCAGCCAACGTTAGCTACTATAGATAGCTGTGTTCTGCAGCCGTAAGCCAGCTACCATTCAAGCCAACATTAGATGATAACTAACGTTAGCTAAACACAGCTGTCTAGGCGCCAGTAGCTAGCCAACGTTAACATTAGCCACCAACCCAGCATGAACAAACCGCACGGAGAGCTAAGACAGCCAGTCAGCACCACTGAAGTGCGCAGAGCCCGCGCCACACAACACACCACACAAACATGAAACCAACCCAGCCAACGCCAGCACCCACCTGCCACCGTCTCCTCCACGAGCGACAACGGGGCGCCGCCGCCACAGATGCTCCCACATTGCCAAATGGAGTTGGTATACCACACCAGCACCACAGCGAAGAGCACAAATAACCACACCTTTACGTTTGGGACTAAATCTGAAGTATTCCCATTCCTTTGATGATTCAGGGCGAGCTGTTTTTTTAGGACTTTTTCTTTTATTGGGAATTCTGTGAGGAGGTTGCTGTTTCGTCCTCCATTCTGCAATGTTTTGGTCTCCCACGTGTGTGTGTAGAGCTGTGGCGAAGTGTCGACGCAAAAATTTGACGTGGATGTAGTTTTGATGTTGATGTGTCGCTACAGGCCTAGATAAAATAAAGAGAAACCTCAGAACAAGGACCAAAACAGCTGCCTGATGGTTTCACTGCAGTCAATTCAGTTTTATTTATATAGCGCCAATTCATAACAGAAGTTATCTCAGGACACTTTTCAAAATAGAGCAGGTCTAGACGGAACTCCTTTATAACATTATTTACAGAGACCCAACAGTACCACCATGCCTCCAAAGTCTTCAGTGTGCAGTGAGAGGACATCAGTTTTAGCTCAGTGCGTTTTGTATATCAACATACAGTGGAGTAAAAGAAGAACCCCAGTGATAGGATGAGAACAACATGGCAGTTCCTGATTGGTTCTCAGACTCAATAAACTTCTTCATGTCCATATGTTGGGGTGCGGCTTCAGTTTTGATATCTCTTGTGCCTTCTTGTAGTTGGCTAAAGCTGCCTTCAGTGTCTTAAATAGTTTGTTTTTAACCTTGCCAGTGGTCAGACTTCATTTAAACTTAATATACGACACTGTTGTAAGTGTGAGGTTGAGCAGTTGCTGCCGGAATTGCCATATCTCACAGATTTTGCAAGAGGAAATGTTTCTGCAACGTGTGAGGACACAATGGTAAACTGACAGGGACCAAAGGGACAAGTAGGGGATAATAATTTCTTAACACTTCTGACCACCCAACAAATTCAACATTGTGGACATCACTAGATTAGGTATCACTCCCTTTCTCTTCTATTATAGAAGTAGAAGAAGAATTGTATGTTTTTTGCTATTTTGTTTGTCTGTGTTCAAGTAACTTAACACAGTTGACCGGTTATACATAAGATTGTACAGCAACAATGTATAGTTTTTTGCAGCAAAAGTTCATAACCTGTAGTTTTTACACACTTGATAGCAGGAAAGGCTGCGATATAATGAGCAAAGATGGATGATTTGATATTCCATAGCTCTAAGTTAAGCAAATGCAACTGACATCACTGTTCTGACTCTTCAAATGTTTATCAAGTACAATAAAAGTTAATCAAAAAACTTCACAAACATACTTTGGGTTTCATAGAACATAACATTAATTGATTCTTTGTCCAAAGTAAATGATAATTATTATGGGCCGATAATTTATTAGCTGTAATTTAATAATCTTAATAATTCATAACTGATCACTTATCTACCCCAATAATTATTGTTCATCCCTAATTTTCTGTAAAATGCTGACTGGTCAAACTAGAACATCTGTGCCTGACAACATTTGATACGCATTGCTATGGACATGTTTTGGTTGGTAAATGTAAAAACACCCTTTTCTTTTTTCTTCCAGGGGGAAGCTTGGTCGTTACCCACCATGGCCAGGAAAGGTAAGAAATGAAACCCTGCCAATGGCTGGCTCATAGCAAAATACATGTTAACATGACAAATCTGATGCTAATGTTGGACTACATTATGTATTAACATTACAGGTAGTAAGCCCTCCCAAGGACCTGAAAAAGCCCAGGGGCAAGAAATGCCACTTTGTGAAATTCTTTGGAACTGAAGACCAGTAAGTCTGGATATTGGGGTACCTGTTCTGATTAACTGTGCATTTCCCGCTCCGTCTAATGTGTTAAGAGCTGTGGTTTCTGTGTGCCTGTCCAGTGCCTGGATCAAAGTAGAACAGCTGAAGCCCTACCACGCCCACAAAGAGGAGATGATCAAGATAAATAAAGGAAAGCGCTTCCAGCAGGCAGTCGATGCAGTGGAGGACTTTCTAAAGAAAGCAAAGGGGAAAGAACAGGTGAGGGCCTTTGAGATGTACCTAGTATTTCCAGATAGTTTGTATTTATGCTTCCTCATCCAAAAATACCTCTCTCTTGCTTTTCATATAGTTGGCCATTTTCATTCGCAAGCACAGAGTGTAAGACTTCTAGGAAATAAGTAACCTACAAATCCCTCAATATCTCTGCATTTTCCTCACACATCTTTTCCATCCTTGTAGTTTTTGTTGTTGGCCACAATGCTAGCTTGTACTCTGGCTCAACAGGTGCCATCAGCTCAAAGAACCCTCCACAAAGTTTTAACAGGAACGTATCTCCAGTAACTCATCTAATCCGTCTCAGCTGTTCTCTCCTTGTGCTTTATCTGCAAATAGTTTATCATCAAACTGTTCGGATACAAAGTTTAATCTTATCTAGCTTGCACTGCACATTCATATTGTCTATTTTTTTCAAAATACTTCCAAACATCAATTTTATACCTGGTCTACATTCTGAGCTAATACTGACGTCCAAACAAGTACTGATGCCTCTCTACTTTTAGTCCACTGTAAAGTACTAGAGCTGCCCTGTGAACATTGATCAGTACAATTATCGGTTAAGAAGCAAATCATTTGTACATCCTTGTGTCAGACTGAGTCACAGAGTTTCATTTGTGTCATTCTACACAGTATTAGGAATGTGGCAGACTAAAAGGGTTTGCAACCAGACTCCTAAATTGAACAAACTAATGGGAATAGTGAAGGGTATGCATGCCCTGGGAGGTCAGAGACTCTTTGTGAACCACACCAGACTGCTATTGCTGTCCAATGTGAGAGGCACTCTGGTTGAAGGTTGTGTCAGGAGCCAGGTGCTCTGCAGTGTTGTGGAATCTTATTGCTAAGCTATAATCAGGATGCAAGCCTTTTCTGCTCACCAGGAGTAGTATGCACTGGACTAGAAGTGTAATTGGGCCATTAATAGTTTTGTTAAGGGAATTGTGATGAAAATACACAAGTAAATATATATGTATGTATATATATTTTATATATAGTATTTTTTTGTCAAAAAAAAGCAGGAATCACCAGCAACATGATGAAAAGAAACCTGAAGCTAAATGTAAATGCTGTCTGAAAACTTGTTTCTGCCTTGAGAGGAATCGCAGGCATTTATTACATTACTTGAAACACAACCATGTCACACAACACAACTAGATCAGAAAAAAAGGAACAAAGTCAAACCCTTTCCAAGCTTTATTCACAACAGTTTGTTACTTTAACATTAGCTAATGCCGCCACATAACCCAGGAAACACAGCCTGTTTTGGCAAACAACTGCTTAAAACTCTTTTTAACAAGTGAATATGTATAGTTCAGTATTACTCAGAATTCATGACAGAACAAAAAATTATTAAAGCTCTGAGAATGTTGTTCACTGGTATATTTAAAAAGATTTCAATTATACTTCTTGTTACAGGGGCAAATCTGAGCACAGCACAACCCAAACAAACACAGATCACAAAGAACAGCTCATTTGTTTTCACCACTGAAACTGATCAATCTGAATCCAATCACAGATTAATGAGATGACACTTTTCTGAACGAGTCCTGCTCTCCCCAGGCTCCCTCATGTAATACTCCAAGGTGTCACGTTCAGTCTCAGCAAATGTTTATTCAGGTGGTCCCTGTGGGTCCATGTGCCCACCAGAATGAGTGCGTTTAACATGTGGGAAATTGGTTATCCCTTTGGCTCAACCTGCTCAGACAGGGTTATTTTACAACTGTCCTGCTTTCAAACAGAGAGCTGTCTTGGCACAAAATGATAATAAAAGTGTTTTCAACAGAACTCAGATGGCAAAGGAGAGTCAAAAGGAAAGAAAACGCCCAACAAGCCACTGAAAATACTGGAGGAGGATGATGAGGATCTCAGTGCCCTGAAGGACCCCTCTGAGAAGGTCAGTAGAACACTAAGTTAAAAACATTTTCCCATCAAGCAATAGTTAAACAGTAGAGTTGTTCCCATACCAGTATCAGAAACTCTTCCAATAAGGCCTAAAATGTGGTATGTGGTATCTGGTATCGGCGAGTACTTGTATCTGTACTATGTAATTTATTAGCCCCGAAACTGGACCCTACTACTTTCTAGCAGTGTTGTTTCAGCCGAGTACTCCCTCAACCTCGGTAACGGGATATCCACAGCTCTCAAAAGGTCTTAAAGCATTGTTTCCTTAAAAAATTAAAAATGAATTTACCAAAGTTTAAAACATTTTCCTCTGCCGCTGTAGGCACTGGTGTTAGTTATAAAAGGTTTCTGTGTGTGATTGCTGCCTGTTAGGAAATACACCTCTAAACCCAAAGTGAGAGCGGTGTGATGGTAGACTGTGCTGCAGAAGTTTTTATTCAACACCATCAGACCTGAAGCAAACACTGACAGTACTGCCAGCTACAGTAGCTAGAAGGTCCAAGTTATCACAGACTTAAATATACGTGAATGAATAATTTGTAATTGGTTAATCTACATTCATAGTTATCTTTATATAGTGCTAGGAAGTACTGAAAAATGTAATATGATAATAAATAATTGTAGGCCATTCTACTTTCATACATGGGCTGTTATTGTGAAAAAGCATATTAAATTGCATTCTGTGTGGTATTTAAAAACAAATGTATAAAAGTTGACACTGGGTTATTTCCTGCTGTGGAAAAGGACTGAAATACATTTTGTCAGGTTTCATCACTAATTCTCCCCCCCCAATTCTTTTTTCAGTTAGTTTCTACACAAGTAAATGTGGGTGATAGCTGCAGTAACAGGTTGCATTGAAGAGCAGCAGTGGCTGGGGAGCTGTCAAGATGCCATCCCTGGAAATCAGTATTATTAATTAAAGGCCAGTTTGGGTTGAATTGTCCAGGGTTAGACATTCCTGCCTCCATCCCAATACAGTGGAAGTAAAAAATAATATTCCACTTGGTCCTCAACACTTCTCTCCTTCGTATATGACGGCAAAACGTCACCAACTACAGCAGACATGGACCTCTACACAATCACCTTTTGATTTAGGTGTCTCTCTCCTCCTTAAGGACTTAACTGACTCTGACCCCGAGCCGTCCACTATTGAGAGGCTGGGGGCTGGACCTGGCTCAGGATTCAAATGGGAAAGCAGTGTAGGTGGAAACCCCCCCCCAAAAAAGCCTGCCTTGCCTTGCTGTTCTTCTGCCTGACCTTGATCTTTGGCTTTAATCACCAACAACTGCAGACCTTTCCCTTCTGACCTGTTTGGTGCTCACTCTCGGCTACTGAACCTGTTTGTTTGACGTGTGCTGTTGAGATGGTCACCAACTCGGCTCAAAGGCTTCTGAGTGTAAACCAGAATGACCGCCGTGTGTGCGTGCGGGGGTCATATAAAAGTTGAGTCATGAACTGATGATCCGTATGTCAGCGGAAACACTTTCAAACTAAAATGGCAAGTTTGCTGCTGCAGTTTCAGTGCAACAACTTTGGAAAACTATATTAAATGATAATGGTACATTTACAATATTATAAGTTGTCATTTTTCATAGAGGAAACACTTTTTGAATGTATTTACTGTGTTACTTAATACAACACAGTCAGACAGTAGAGCAGACACACTCCAAGCTGTGCTGCCCTGAGCCTTCTTTATGGTCTGCTGAGTTAAATGAGCTCATTTCATTGTTTCACTTGTCTGGAACATATTGAATATAATCTGTGCCTGTTATACATTTGATGGTCCATGCTTTGCAGCCTTTAGAAACCCAAACAACATTTACGTTTGCAGGCCAAAACTGAACTGTGAAGGCTACCTTGTGTTTCCACTAACATGTAGAGAATCAGACAGTGACTGACTGGCTGTGTGGGTTAAACTGATCATACTAATAGCTGCACTCTACCTGAAGCATTGGTGTCAAAAGCAGTCTAGTTTCAGAGGACCACTGTGTTACAGATTAACGGCAGAATATATTTGCTGTGTGATTTGCTAACACGTGGTGTTGCATATGAAGTTAGTTCATATTCCCTTATTGGCTGGAAGATATTAGCTATAAATAGATATCGGTATAGAAGTTGTGTAAAGTGATGAACAGGGAGAATCCATTGACTTGACTTGTAATTGAGCCTTCCTGCGTCCCGCCCCATTTTGCTCTGTGCTCCAATAACAGTTGAGTAAACCTTCGTCAGAGAGAGATTTGTCACATTTTAAGTTGGCTAATGTTACCAAAACGTTTAATAACTAACAATTGATAGAAGTTAGCTAGCTAGTTAACTCAAAGTTTGATTAAATGTGTTTTTCCAAATGTGGTTGTCTTTCCAACATAGATTAGCTTAGCACATAGCATATCTAAGTACAGGAAAGGAGGAAGTTGACCAAGGTTTGCTCAACTATTATTTGAGCACAGAACAAAAGTGGGCGGGGATTTTGTCACTTCATAGTCCAGTGCATTATATAGAGCACGCACCTTTGTGTCGGTTTTAAAACTTTCCCATTGATGCACCTCTAGTTCTTTTGAATACCAAACTGTTCTTGTTGTGTATTGGTGTTAGTAAGTGGGTGTATGATTCAGCCATTGTGGATAACATGCTGCTGTTTCTAAAGTCTGAATGATTTGTGCAGCAGTTGAACACATACAGGGTTCTCACTGGTTATGGAGTTTCTGCTGTAGTTTTGAGGGACAAATAATATGGAATGGAAACAAACATTAACACTAGGGCAGAATCAGATTTTTAGGCCATGGATGGAATCACTGAAATGTCTTACCAGAAACTCTATAAAATCATGGCAGTTTGTATAAGGACTGTGAAGAGAGCCCTGATGTGTCAGTTCTGTGGACGCTATATTCTCTGTCAGGTTAGTACACATGCTAAGAGAAGACTGTCACACTGAACTCTTCTTCTGTTGCAGCCTGTGAAGGACGACCCACATTTCCATCACTTCCTGCTCAGCCAGTCGGAGAAGGTAAGAGGAAGCATGCTGCTCAATATTTTGAGATCTGTGCTTATCATTTCTTATCTTTTTTCAAATGGGTTTGAGTTTGTCATGTCTGATCTTGTTAAGTAACTAGTTAGCGTTCTCCTCTCAATGTGTCTATTTGGCTCTCATTATGTAATGGTGATAAAAATTCACCCAAGCTGAATTTCCCAGAGTAGTAGTGTTCGTCCTGAATGCCCCACATGTGGGCCTGTAACAGTTAAACTGAAACAGCGTGTATCTGAACTGATAAGTCCTGTGTCAACCTGTGCTGCGTTTCCTCAGTGATATTTCCTGCTTGACTCCCATTGCTAATATCACTGATATTATTATTATTATTATTATTATTATTATTATTATTATTATTACTATTGTCACTGCTCATTGTCCCCCATCATTGCTGTTGTCGTCGTCGTCATCTTCTTCTTCATGGTCATCATCAGTCACTACTATTAGTGTAGTTGTTGCTACTGTTGTTGCTGTGCCTCTCTCTTAACAGGCAGTTTTTCCTTGCCCCCGTCGCCAAGTGCTTGCTCATGGTGGTACTGTTGGGTCTCTGTAAATAATGTTATAAGGAGTTCGGTCTAGACCTGCTCTATTTGAAAAGTGTCCTGAGATAACTCCTGTTATGAATTGGTGCGATACAAATACAGTTGAATTAATTAGGAAAGTAGTAGTTAAGTGAATTTCCCCAGTGTGGGATCAGTAAAGTCAATCTTATCTTAAAAACACACACAATGGCAACCATGTGAACGGAGTACAGTTAGCTGATAATGATCCTGATCAGCCAGTGCCAGTTATCAGGCTCCAGACTAACTTTTTGCATTGGTTGCACTGGTGCACCTAACGTTTTTTTTTTAGGTGCACCAACACAAAATTTTGGTGCACCCAAATTTTTCATTGCGTCACCTTTAACGCCATAAGGTCACCTTTTTATCGCTCTCCATAACTTTCATATCATGTGAATGATTTTTAAACAAGAATAAGGTGTAGAGAAATGCTTGTCTTTATTTGAAGCACAATTATATATAAAAAGAAAAATAAAGTGTTTTAAAGTGCTTCACTGAGCTGAAATTGAACATTTCAAACTAAAACACTAAGCAAAATAAAACATTTCCAAATAAAAAAACATTGTTGACCTGCTCACGAATGCACTATTTCTGGCCATATTCTGACTGCACTCCTGACAGTACACGCAGTGCATTGCGTTACGTCCTTTGTTGTACCTCAGCCAAGGAAATAGTTTCAGCCAGTCCTGTCTGAAGGAATATATTTTGGCCTATTTAATTTGGGTCTCGGAGCCAGGCTCTATCCCAGACTAGGTTGTCTCCTCCTCTGGTTCCGAGTCTGATGCTGTCGCCGAAGGACCGGGGCTCGGCAATTTTTGAACACACACACACTTAGAAACGTTGGTCCAAATTGGTCACACTCTGGAGCCCTGGTTTGTGGCTGTTACCAAACTACCGGTTTGCTGCTTCCTGTCTGTTGCTGGACAGAGAGGCTATCTGCTCTCACTGGCTCTGCATTGTTAGCTGTTATTTTATCAGACTTTGACTACATCATTTTGTGATTTCACAGTTGTACTGTGGATAAAGTGTATCTGATGTGAACTTGGCATTAGGCTTGGCAATGTGTGTGTGTGTGTGTGTTGTATATTGGTTACCTGTGGTCTGACGGTTTCATCTGTGCCCACAGCCAGCCTCATCAATGGAACCCATTAGCAAGCGCCTGAAGATCATTGAAGAGGTAACGCAACAAACACTAATATAAAATTGGTGTTTTCAATAATGTGAGAATACTGTGTATTTAGTTTAATAAATAATGCATAATAAAGCTAGGTAAGGCTTCACTTTGCCTTCGCTATGAAATTGACAGGGTTGCTTTTGGTTGTGCAGGACTCGGGGTCAACTTCTATCCAAGCAGCAGACAGCACAGCCATCAATGGCAGCATCACACCCACAGACAAAAGGTATTAACACATCCTCACTGCTGCATTACACAACACCATTATCAAAATTACTTACTAAATTTAAGTGAAAATAAGAGCACTGTTGCAACTGTTCATTTCAATTAAATTTTCAGTGTTTGCTTGCTCACGTTTTGATTTGTTTGTTCTTTTTTGGGACTTTGCCCTCCAGGATAGGGTTCCTGGGTCTGGGGCTGATGGGTAGTGGGATAGTTTCCAACCTGTTGAAAATGGGTCATGTTGTCACAGTGTGGAACCGCACAGCAGAAAAGGTACTGTAACACAGTCACCGTCACACAAGCAACGCTATCATGCAGTTTAAATTCATTACTCATACTGTGTTTGTTGAATGAGGTTCACACCATAGTATGATCATGTAGGTCTGTGTTGGCATGCTGCAGCTGATTGACTATGAAATGACTCCTGTCTGCTGTATTCCAGTGTGACCTATTCATCCAGGAGGGAGCCAGGCTAGGCCGGACTCCTGCAGAGGTGGCGTCCATGTGTGACATCACTTTCTCTTGTGTGTCAGACCCAAAGGCTGCCAGGGATGTGAGTACCATGTCAACTACAGTAAATGGCTTCTGTGGATGTTTGAATCACTGAAAAAAGTTTTGTTCCTCTCCAGTTGGTGTTGGGACCCAGTGGAGTGCTGCAGGGAATCAGGCCAGGCAAATGCTACGTAGAAATGTCCACTGTAGACCCAGAGACCATCACAGAACTCTCACAGGTATACACTAACACAAAATAGCCAGAATACTTGCACAGTACAAAATAATGCACTATTAAAATAGGCATAGGCATCTTCTCCATCTGAAATATATACAGTTGTAGCAGTTATTATTGAAGTAGTATACTGTAGTATACTTTAGTATTACTATATGAAATTGTTCAATGTTTGAATGTCAGGTGATCACGTCGCGGGGCGGCCGTTTCCTGGAGGCTCCGGTGGCGGGAAGCCAGCAGCTCTCCAACGATGGGATGTTGGTCATCCTGGCAGCTGGTGACAGAACAGTCTATGAGGACTGCAGCAGCTGCTTCCAGGCCATGGGCAAGACCTCCTTCTTCCTGGGTATGTAGGGGCTCAGATTGTTGTTCCAAGTGTCTGACAACATTATGGAAAGGATCCCTACGGAGATAGACCTCTTGTTTGTCCAGATACACCCGTAATCTCTTTCACCACCAGACTCCATAGACAAAAACGCTAATTTTATGTCACAAATCTAACTACATTGAGTGCTGGTCTGGTGTGGGAGCCTGTTAGGCCCTGTCCTCACGAATACGTGTTTCTCGATTCCGGATAAATACTTCATCGTATCATCGCTGCCCATTTCCCCCCGTTCGCTTTGCAGGAAGAGCGATTAGGTCAGCCAACCGCTAGTGTCGCTGTAGAGCATTTATAGCAAGTTACCCGTCTAGATACTCCCTTTACACAGACGCCGACGTCTTCCTCTTCCTGTTTACGCAGTCAGAGCGAGGAGATTCAAGAGAATGGCGGCAAATCGAAATCCAGCACCTCCATGCTTAAAAGCAGATGTGTGGGATAGGGATGCACCGATCCACATTTTTTCACTTCCGATCCCGATACCTGAATTTGGATATCTGCCGATACTATTCCGATACCAGAGCTCTGTTTGCTTTAATGTTATTATTATCATTATTGTTAATTTTATGAGGCTGAAATAAACTCCTCAACAGGCAAGTATGATATGTACGTATGTATGGATGTATGTCCCAAAAGCAACTTGAGGTAAGTATAAGGTCAGAAAAACAGGAAATCCTGTTAACAGGAAAAATCCCATCCTGAAAACAAATATGCAACTGTAAGGGTTTCAAATTGATTGACATTTTGGGAATTTAAATAAATATTGACATGACAAATATTTGAAATATAACATCTTACACACACACACACACACACACACACACACACACACACACACAGATGATGTCTGCCTGGAGTTTACCTTGTTTTTGGAATGACTCCATAAGTGATTCCTGACAGCTCCCCTAAAAAATCCTCGTGCTCTTTCGTGTGGTGCTTTTTAAAAATGTTTGAGTTTGTAGTGTTGTACGACGCAAGGGAGCTTTCGCCTCTCTGAATCACGGATTTGCTAGCCGGCTGCAAACTGCGGAATGGATTTCCTGAGCGGGGGCGTGTCTCATAACTCTGTCTCATTGAGCCGCGCCTCCGTTTAGGAAATCCATTCCACAGTTTGCAGCCAACTAGCAGACTGGCCGGCAGGAATCACTTGTGGAGTCATTTCAGCAGACAACGTTAAAGCGGAGACATGGATCGGATATCTCCGCAGATTGGATCGGGAAATTCCAATCCATGAATTACGCTGGTATTGGTCCCGATACTGATGGCTAGACTAGCTACCTCACATACTTGTAGGCCTACAGGCCTTAAACTACTCTGCTAAAACGGGTACATTTTAAGTTAAATGTTTAAATGTTGTTCTTAGTGTCTTGAATTATTGGCTGTTTTGGAGAAGCCGTGGTACTATGTTTACTTACCTGGTGGCTAGACTGGATACCTCATATGTCCAGTGTCGAGCTAAAAAAGCTGTCAAAGAATCTGTTCAGAACAGGCCACTTGCTGCACTTTTTAACTCTCCATTGTTCATTGTAATACTGCACTTTATTTACTTTTCAAAGGCTTGTCAGCTACAGTTTGCACTGTTTCAATAAATGAAACTTATTTTCTCACCTCATCTTTGATTCATTTTGTCCAGCATTTGCAAGCTGTAGACTCTCTGTCCAGTCAGAGCCATATATTGTGTAATTGATGCTTTCAGTTTTCAGTTCAATTAATTCAATCCAAGTCAGTGGAACACTCAAAAGATGTCACCAAATCACACTGTCCCTTTAAAATCTTGTGTATCTAATCGTATCGTTGGCTGAATATCGTGATATATATCATTTCATGAGCTGAATATCGTGTATCGTATCGTGAGATTAGTGTATCGATACAGCCCTAGTAGAAATGCACTCAGATATGAATTTTTTTTTAAAATCACTACCCTCTGAGTGCCTCAGATTTCTTCAAGAATTCTAAATGCTAATTTTACCTTGGTTTCAGTGTTCTACTCAGCTGCACACAGAGTAGTAAACAAACCACAGAGAGGCTGTGATAGCGACACATGCAGAGAGAATGTGACACCATGACTCCACTATATCTTTACGTAGAGAATAGTGGTTTGCTGCTATATTCATGTTTTAAATTTCATCTATACAACCTTTTTAATGTTAAGATGTGCTGGTAGATATATTTTGTTCCTTATGGACAGAGCTAGCCAATTTCCCCATTTCCAGACTTTGGGCTAAGCTAACTTACTGCTGCCATCACATACATATTAAGTAAGACTGGTGACAACCTCATCTGATTCTCGGCAAGGCCGAAACAAGTGAGCAAATTCCCTAAGATGTCCAACAAATACTTTGAGGTAATGTGGGTAGATGTATAATGTCATTTACAGGTTTACACTCTTGAGTGTTTCTTGTCAGCAAATTACCTTGAAAATATCATTTCTGGTCGCCCGGTTAGCTCAGTGGGTAGAGCTGGCGACCCATATACTGAGGCTGAGTCCTTGCCGCAGCGGCCCAGGGTTCGAATCCAACCTGCGGCCCTTTGCTGCGTGTCATCCCCTCTCTCTCTCTGCCCCCATTTCCTGTCTGTCTTCAGCTGTCCCTATCAAATAAACGCAATAAAAAGCCAAAAAAAATACTTAAAAAAGATATATATATTTCTGATCAAAGTGTCTTGTGAATGTTTCCAAAGGCTCAGGCTGCCAGATGGTGTCACATTACCACATTTTGTATACATTTATTGGTTGAACTGCTCTGTGATTACCCAACATGACTGAAAAGCCAATTCCAAGCGAGCAGAAATTTAGGCACAGGCACACTGAGGATGATAATCATTTCATTGTTGCTTATTTCTGCTTCTTATGTGTGTATAAGAATGTGTGTGTATGTGTTTTCAGGTGAAGCGGGGAATGCAGCAAGGATGATGCTGATCCTCAACATGGTGCAGGGCAGCTTCATGGCCACTATCGCAGAGGGGCTAACCCTGGCCCAGGCCACTGGCCAATCACAGCAGACCTTCCTGGACATCCTGTGCCAGGGCCAGATGGCGAGCACCTTTGTGGACCAGAAATGCCAAAGTAAGTCAACACAAGAGAAGTTTTAAGTTGACACTTTTTTTTTTTTTTTTTTTTTAAATGGGCTCATCTTGACCTTTCTTTCCTGCCTCTTCCAGATATTTTACAGGGCAACTTTAAGCCTGACTACTATTTGAAACATATTCAGAAAGACCTGAGGCTAGCTATCTCCATGGGTGACATGGCCAACCATCCAACCCCAATGGCTGCAGCTGCCAATGAGGTACACGTGTGCTTTTATTTATTGTTAAGTTGTTGAACTTGTAAATTGAAAGGTTGAGAATTAAACAATTTGTTTCGAAACCTGGTTCATACTGTGTTGAAACGACGCTGTAAGTACAGCGTAGGTGCACGTTGTAGCCTTACCCAGAAATGTAATGAAAGAGTCTGGGAAGAGACTCATGCAAAACCTAGTTACCGAGTTAATAATGCCGTTTGAGAATCCCTCTTCAAACAAACACACACAAATACATACACACGTTCCCCGACAAGTCTGTCCTCACACACACACACACACACAGGCAAACAGGCAAACATGGGACGCGACATTGCTGCAAAACATGCTCTTGTCTGTCCCCTCATATTCCCTCGGCCTTTCGTTTCATGCTGGGGGGAAAAAAAGCAAACAAGGAAACAAAATATAGAGGACAAAGACAAGTGTCGAAAGGCTAAAACAATTAATCATTTTCACTAGTTTACTTTGTAGGTCCAACCTAAGAAATGAGATGTCATTCACCAGCTACTGACTCCATAGTTGTGAACAAGGAACTTCAGTATTTGAAGTTGATTAGGTTCAATCAGGTTAGTGGTGTTGGAGAGTAATGTGTGTTATTAATCACCCTGTTATAATCAGCCCGTCCAGAGGAAACTCAGATGCACCCAGACATTTCTCCATCTCATGCTTTAGTATGGTGGGGTGTAAGGAACGATTCGTCATCACCACTAACCAGGCTCTAGAGGTGTAGTTAAAACGTTTTCATTTTCAGTTTCTTCATTGAAGATTTGTCATCCCCCCCCCCCCCACACTGTAATAGTGAATCCTTTCTAACGATGCATGAATAAATGCTGCAGGGACAATAGAAGTGAAGCATGTGCAATACAACTGAAACCTTTGTTTTGTTCCTGTACAGGTTTACAAGAGGGCAAAGGCACTGGACCAGTCAGACAATGATATTTCTGCAGTCTACAGAGCCTACATTCACTAGAGCGAGGTGTGACCGATCCTCTGGACCACACAGTCTTTAATCCCTTATTATTTCTCCTCGTCATGTAATGAGTTTTTATTTTAAATTCTAGTCATTTTATTTCATTTTGCTCCCAACGCCAGCCATGTTACCTGCCCACAAATCATGGGATAATAATTCCTTATGTTAGAAGCAACCTTGAGCATTGCACTGACTGTACTGGGAAGGGGGAGAGATATACGTTGTAAGAGTGCTACAAATGAGGTTGTACTGCTACAGTCTGCTGTGGTGGGGGGCAGTTTGTCTGGTTTTTGACAACTACCAGTAGAAGTAATGCAGGGTGTTTGGCAAGGATGTGGGGTCCAGTGCCACTGTGAAAAGCAGGCGGGGTGTCCAGCTCAAGCCAGAGAAATTGCTGTCAGGTTTTGTGGATGCACCAACCCTAATGGGTTTTTTTTTGTTTTTTTGGTTCATGTGCAAATGAGTTTATTTAATTGAGTGTGATCTTTGCTTTTATTTTAAATGTCCAGAATTCCATGAGAGAAAAACACAAGAACATGCCACTGCATTGCCTTAATAATGTAACCCCTCGAGTCTTTTGATAATAGATGTATTTATTTCTTTTTCTTTCTAGGTCTTCTCGGTACAGTTAGGCCATGCCATGTTTCTGTATTTGACTAGATGGTTTATGCTTTTACGTTGGTGTCAGTGATCTTTTTTAAACAGGTTAAAGACAGAGCAACAGATGTGTTGAGGCCTTTAAAATGCAGTAATAATTGGTATTTCTCACCAAGACTTAAGATTACCACATTTGAAATCCTTGTGTTTTTGGAAGAGTTCTCAATTCCACTGTGTTTTTCTTTTTTAAATATATTTTTCTGAACCCAGATAAATCCACCTGTTGCATTTTAACTGGAGGCTTTAATTTAGCCCCATGTCATTGTGCTTTTTTCCCCCCTGGTAATTAGTGTTAAGAAGTTGTGGTTGAGCTTTCAAGGCCAATTTTAGACCATTGTGGGTTACAAGTACACAATTAAAGCCGCAGTAGTTAATTTTTATAAAAATATTTTGTCATTTTTGCTTAAACTTTCACTTTCCTGACCATAGTACATGAGACAGATAATCTGGGAAAAAAACGGGTCCCTAAGGAACAACCAGAGCACAGAAAAATAGTTGATTTTTGAGTCTTATTCCCAGGGCGTCAAATACCAATATTAATAGAAATGAGTAATGTATAGTAATATATGCCATTAGGAGCACTAGGAGGAGCCAGAGGAACCCGATTTCCCCCCTCCCCCCATATTATCTGTCATGTTCTACTGTTAGGATATAGTGAAAGTTTCAGCAGATATGAGTTATTTTTATAAAAGTGACCTATTGCAGCTTTAAAAACTGAACTAAAACCATCAAGTTGGTTAGTGGTTTCATAAGTTTTAAAGGCTGAAAGCTGTAGTATAAATATAACCTGTTGAACTCCTCACATGGCACTAGTAAGACAAACACAACTCACTTCAGCTAAACTGTTAATATGCTAAATAAGGAAATGCAACAGTCAGGGCCCCAAACCAAATGTTAACATGGATTCTGTTTTATTATTTATTTATTTTTATATTTGCCTCAAACAGATTTCAGCTCACATAAAGGGAGGGACAGCAGGTGGTCACATCGCAGGGGGGGAGGCAATCTTGATTACATAGTAGGTCTTCGCAAGTCCACCCAACGAGACTGAAACATTTCTCAATGGACATAAGGTCATGACAGATTCATCATATACGTTGGCTGATAATTGACAAGAAATGCCAGATTCCCAAATTTAAGTTAGAAATCATTTAGAAACAGTGTCTACATAATTTCTGACAAGTTACTTTTTTTTTAAAAAGTGAAAAGTCCTGCTCACTACATATTGTGATCACAGTACTTTAGGAAACCGATTGGAGGATTGTTAGCACATTTCTTACCTCTCAAATGTTGGTATCTGCCTCAAAAATTCAGTCCAGGTCATCTCCGCTCCAATCCAAATTATCAGTCTAATCAGGTCAGGTCAGTCTTTTACAGCAGGTCTCAGGTCTGTGTGTCAATATGCCTATTGCCTGAGTGGATCCAAGGGGACTCTAATCACTACTTATATATCACAATTGGAAAATTAACTGTAAAATGGCCTGTATTAATGTTCCTGAATCACCGTATTCTGGATCAGGTCTAATTGTCCCTTTCTAAGTCCCAACCCTTCTTTCTCTATGCTCCAATAACCGTTGAGCAAGCCAAGTGAAGAACCCCAGTCAACTTTCTTCTTTCCTGTTCTTTTGCTATGTGCTAAGCTCGTCTTGTTGGAAAGACAACCACATTTTAAAGATGGTTAAAAGATAAAGGCTCATATCTTTTAGATAAAACGCTAGCTAGCTAGTTAGTCCTCGTTTTACTACAGACCAAACCACTAACTTGCTAATCTACATCAATCCACTTCAATCATTAGCTATTAAAGTATCAATTATTATAGCTTGCCACCGCTAGTTAGTTAGCATTTTGCTACAGAAAAACCACTGACTAGCTAATCTACATCAGTCATTAGCTAGCTAGTTACATCTGAAAGCTAATGTAAGGAAAACGCTAGCTAACTAATTTACTGCTGTCAATAATTAGCCAGTTAGCTAACTTCTTGCTAACATAAGCTAACTTAACAGGTGACTATATATGGCTCTTGTATCTTTTAAGCATCTCCAAAATGTGGTGGTCTTTTCAACATAGACGAGGCTAGCACCTAGCATATCTAAGTAGAGGAAAGGAGTTGACCGAGGTTCCTCTGGGTACCTGATTGGAGCACAGAGCGAAAAGGGACTTAGGAAGAATAAACCAACATATTTTTATTTTTTTACTATGAACCTTAGATTTTGGAGTCTATTTTGGACACAGTTCAGAATTCTGGACCCATGAAGACCTCTACTATGTAGCCTAAAACACACCCTACAATGACAATGCCCAACATATGCCAAAGAAACGTGGCATGGCAAGAGCCGAGTTCTGTCTGTCGGTGTTCTGATAGAAGCTCAAATCAAACAAGACAGCTTTAATCATCAGTCGGTTCCAGTTGGAGCACTTGTCCTGACCACTAAAAACTCCAAATAGAACACAATGAGTCTGTGTTTGCGGGTATTATTTTTGGACTAATCATTGGGAAGTAGATGCAGAAATGGGTTAATCAAGATGTCAAACATGGCAGCAAATATGTGTCTTTCTTTTCCTTCAAGAATAATGTACAGAAAAATGTCTAAGAGAGCACATCAATTGTCGACCCCACTGTCACGATCTTGGAGGTAACTAGCAACAAGCCCTGCTGTTCTTTCACTAGAACCTGTACAGTATGCCGTTGAGACACAGGAAGCACAGAAGGACAGTGTGCACCTGCAGAAAATTGTACTTGCTTCCTTTCAGCGACCTCATGGTGTTTCAGTTTTTATCAGTTTCCTCTGTAAATTAATGAAAAACAGAATCATTTAGTTGCATCCTAAGAATCAAGTGTCCCACTTAGACAGATTTTCTTTTTGCCAAACAATTTCCATGTAAGGTTTTTAATTTTGGTTCCCCTTACACTCTGGTGTAAAGAACTGTTTTTAGAAGACAGATGTAAATAGCACATTAGGTTGAGTAGGGTTTCTTTTATATCTACGATAACTGGGATTAATGAAAAAAACTACTTTTGCTTTGACTCTACAGAGCCACTGTCTAACATCTTTGTGTCTTAATACTGTCGATTGTTCAGTTCAAGTGTAAATGGTTTATTAATATGTGGCTTATATAATCTGGCTTATTATTGCATTGAAATGACAATGATTTGGATCCCGTCAACAGAAGAAGGGTGTAACTTGTTTTGGGGGATATTTATGATTTTGTGTACATGTGGAAATATCAAGACTTTTGTGCTGTTTAATAAATCCTCTCCTGATTACTGACGCATGCATGTTTACTCACTACTGATCAACTTATGTTCTGTTAATATTTTTTGGACTGCTAATTCGATTAGAACTCTAATATTTGTTTCTCATTGCTTTCTCTATGACTTCTATGAGTCTGGCTTTCCCAAGTCCACTGTTAAGTTCCTATCCTAATCAATAATTCACAAATATATAGTTTGAAAACACAATGAAAATAATGCATGTGTTGGGGACTATTTTCAGTGGTGATTTAATCCCTTTGTTCAGAGTAGGAAAAATAAGTATCACCAGCTTTATAATTTGAGGGGCAACAAATGTGAGTTTATTAGCTGTAAATGTGACAGGCCCATTATGATGTACTTGTTGAAATACTGACTATATGCCATCATCCACTTTGAAGGGACGCCTACTACCCTGAAGGTAGGAACCCATGAATTTTGAGGTAGATTAAGACATAGGATTTAGTGGCATTGTAGGGGCAATTCTTTCATAATATTGAGAGTTGCTGAGTCTCTGAAGAATTACGAACCCAGTGTATTTAATCAAATTCTTCAACACAAATGGTCCTTTGATCTGACCCTGTGACTGAGTCTTATCAGTCACCCCCTACCATAACGTCACAAACCCCCTAACCAAACTGTATACATTTACTTCCTAAAATAAAATAAAATAGTTGATTGTTGAGTCTCATTCACAGGCCGTCAAATACGCTTTGGGACCCTGGGAATGAGACTCAACAATCAACTATCTTCAAGCCTCCAACCCAAAGCGTGTTTATATCTTTTTCTCTATCGTTGTTTTTGTTCAGGCCCGGTGGATTCTTATAAATACCGTCAGCAGCACTAGGAGGAGCCAGAGGAACCTGATGTTTTCACAGATTATCTGTCTCATGTCAAAATTTCAGGAGATATTATTTTTATAAAAATGACCTACTGCAGCTTTAAGATATACTGGAGCCAATCACTGTGCCTAAGGGTTATTTTCTCAGATCTTACAATAAACCTGAGAGTACAACTTTATAAAAAAGATTGTTAGAGCTTGACTATGAGTACGAAGGAGGATATCTCATCCTGTGCCACTTTGAAAAGGTCTCTGAAGTCCCAGACTTCGAGGTGCAATACTAGTTTGAATTAAATTAAACTAAATTGCTGGCACAGTGAAGCTTCCCAAGGTAATTACAGTATGTTTAGAAATAGAGGACTGAAACATGCCCAGATTTTAGACTGCAGACTTTCTTGAATAGTCATATACCCTAATGGCCGCTACAGATGCCTGTTTACTTGTTGATTCAGTTATTTATACCTATGACAGTGGGGAAGGGGGGCCGTTATTACCCAATAGTACTAAATGTTTGTGTCACGCTGGGCGGAAGTTGTACTCCCTAATAAGGACTAGTGGGTGTGGCCACTTTAATAGTGAACGTGTGACTGGCCTAATGCTACATTCAGGTGCGTTCCGTAAAGACCGAAACAAATTCACCTCATTATTTTGGTTTGTACGGAATTGACAACAAAATCCACCAGTCAGTATAAATATAATTGTTTTTGCAATGTTCTTTAAGATGATATATTTGCAGCCCGTCTTTTGATCCAAATCGTTATTTTTTCATTTATATCCACCGCTGTTTGCGTATGTTTAATGGAAGCTCCCGTTATTTCTGACGGCACCTGAAAGCAACAGACCCTCCGCTAAGCTAACGTTAGTGGGCAGTTTGACACCTTCACCCTAAGGAGAGGACAGTGTTTTTAAGGTGTTAATCGAGGGTGTGTTTCTGTCTGCTGCACAAAATGCTCAACTCACAGAGGTCCCTGTCCGAGCTGCCCAAGATGTCGGCTGCCAGTCAAGTGGAGCGAGCTGTGCTGGTAAGCTGCTGCGCGGCAATACAAGTGACGTTAGGTAGGGAATCAGCACTGTTCGGCTGTGTGGCTCACTGGCTTACTGACTGAGCAGTCGGTAAATATAGTATGTATTGGCATTTATCATTTTTAAAACAATAACAGCTGGACGTCAGTAAAGTAGCTAGTTGCCTTTGTAGCTAACGTTACTGCTAGCCAAAAGGGACGGTAGCATCCTCGCGCAACAATGCAGGTGCTGTAGTCTGGGCTCGTGCAGCTCATTCTGTGATGATGTCAACAACGGGCCTGTTTACAGACACTTGAAAAACTGAGCGTGCGGTGACCGTGAAATTATCATATAACATGACATTCAACCGACAACTATCAACGTATCGGTAAGCTTTTAACTGAAAGTCAGAATTCACTGTCACCGTTCGCCTCAACGGGCCTGTATAGCACATTTGTTCCAAGCCATACCGAACAATAACGTTAGTGTAAGTACATTCAACAAGAAGCAAATCTAGTGTTCGCTGTCATGAACCTGGGGGGTGGTAGGGGGGTGGTGGGGGGAGACCCTACAGGTGAATAAAATGTAACTAATGGATATCACTATGAAACTTTCAGGCTGGTTTCTTACACCAAGACAGTTGTTTTTTTGTAGTACAGGTTTACTCACTTTTTGTATTTACATATTCAGATGAGTCATTTAATTGAAAATGCACTGGTTTCCATCCAACATTGGATAAAGCTATGTTCAAAAGTCTTGTCTGGCTGTTCTCTCTTTACCACAGTCTCAAACTGAGTGAACTGAAAAATCAATTTTCGCCATTTTGTTATGAATAAAATGTAATAGAAATCGGGCTATAAATGATATATATAACAAACTTCTCTGTAAAAACCACAAGAATATAGATCGGAATAGAACTGCAAGGTATGGTGTATGTAAGTGTTACTGAAGTGGAGATTTCTGGCTCAGATTTTGAGAAAACAGCATTTAAAGGTCCAGTGTGTAACATTTAGGAGGATCTAATTAATCAAAAATGAAATATGATATGCATAACTATATCTAGTATATAATTACCTGAATATAGGAATCGTTATGTTTTTTTGTTACCTTAGAATGAGCGTATATATCTTCAGACTTTGGAGTCCACCATGTTGCCATGTTTCTACAGTAGCCCAGAAGGGACAAACCAAACACCGGCTCTAGACAGGGGTGTTTGTGTTTTTCATGTGTTTTGTGGTGACTGTAGTTCCTCCCCTGTGCTTGGAAGGAGAGGATGAAGCAAGGGAGTTGCAATCTGCAACTACACCACTAGATGCTGCTAAATCATACACACTGGACCTTTAATGCAGTTATTCTTTGTATTACAAGTTTTTTTATTTTATTTTATATTTAAATATGGAAATGAGGCGAACTAATGCTAACGATTTGGTGAAATCTACAGATGCAAATAGACAGAATGCAGCAAAATAAACACCGAAATTTGTATTTGGGGTGTTTTCTTTCCACTAATCTGAAAGAAGACATGTTATGGAAGCAAAATAGGCAAAGATTTCTAAGTTGACCAGTGCAGGAAAAAAACATGTTTTTACCTATAGTGTCCTGTCTTAAAGTTACAGTAGGTAACCTTTATAAAAATGATCTTTATGTTACATATTGGCTGTGTTGTTTTTGTTCAGGCCCGGTGGATTCTTGCAGATACCATCAGCAGCACTAGGAGGAGCCAGAGGAACCTGATGTTTTCACAGATTATCTGTCTCATGTCAAAATTTCAGGAGATATGTTATTTTTATAAAAATGACCTACTGCAGCTTTAAGATATACTGGAGCCAATCACTGTGCCTAAGGGTTATTTTCTCAGATCTTACAATAAACCTGAGAGTACAACTTTATAAAAAAGATTGTTAGAGCTTGACTATGAGTACGAAGGAGGATATCTCATCCTGTGCCACTTTGAAAAGGTCTCTGAAGTCCCAGACTTCGAGGTGCAATACTAGTTTGAATTAGATTAAACTAAATTGCTGGCACAGTGAAGCTTCCCAAGGTAATTACAGTATGTTTAGAAATAGAGGACTGAAACATGCCCAGATTTTAGACTGCAGACTTTCTCGAATAGTTATATACCCTAATGGCCGCTACAGATGCCTGTTTACTTGTTGATTCAGTTATTTATACCTATGACAGTGGGGAAGGGGGGCCGTTATTACCCAATAGTACTAAATGTTTGTGTCACGCTGGGTGGAAGTTGTACTCCCTAAAAAGGACTAGTGGGTGTGGCCACTTTAATAGTGAACGTGTGACCAGCCTCATGCTATATTTTTTCATTTATATCCACTGCTGTTTGTGTATGTTTAATGGAAGCTCCTGTTATTTCTGACAGCACCTGAAGGCAACATACCATGTATTACTTTCAGGATATAGTGAAAGTTTCAGCAAATATGACAAAAAGTAATTTTTATAAAAATGACCCACTGCAGCTTTAAACAAATTCCAAGCTAAGCCTCTGAAATCTGATGTATTTTTTCTAATGTAATTGCAAACCAGCAGCTGTGGGAAGAACCGAAACCCCCTTTAAGACATCAAAGGCATACTAATATGCTTCTGGAAATGGTTATTAGTGAATGAATGTAGACATGAGCTGTAGTGAATAGGCTGGAAAAAATTCATTGCAAGTGTCTTATGATGTCAAAGACCTGTTTTCAGTGTGCCTGCTGTTAACCAGAGGAGACCCAAATTGTTAAAATACATGATTTTAGACATAATATAATACATCATATGGATAAATACTGATTAAATTGTGAAATATACATATTTTAAAACTCACTCATTATTATGAAATGACTGACAGACAGAGACTGTGGTGAGAAGTGGCATTATGAAATAATAACTTTCATTGGGAAAAATCACATTGTACAATACAGCAGACATTATAAAAAACATTGAATAAAAACTGCAGTAATATAAATAGAAATAACCTGTAGTAAATTGTTGTGAAAAAATTAGGAATTGGCAATGATTAAATTCATATTACATATTTTGTACTTTATTTATAGTCTAAACATTCTGCACACTTCAGGGTTGAATGAGCCCTGTGAGTCAGCACTCTTGCTCCTCCTTGGACACGAAGCAGGCCTGAAACAGCTCTGATGCAGGTTGAGGGGAAATGAGTCCTCTTCCATACATTTTAAACTCTTTAGAGTTCAAAACGTCATTCATTTGTTAATAAATGTGCTGGTGTTGAATTGGATTGCGCTATATTTAGTCTAAACACACTCCTTTTGAACCTTTGTTTATTGCAGGGTTGTTGTATTATACTGCATAATGTTTAGCTAGGTGCACACCTGAGAGTGTAAATATATACCTGTAGAATGAAGTCAGGTGCAGAGTACAAATGCCTGAAAGATCCAGCTATAAACAAACTGTACAGAAAAGTTCATCTATATTTTGCCACTGTAAACAAGCTTTACAACTATTATAATGGAAAAAATACATGTATTGCAACTGTACTAAAGGTCCAGTGAGTAACATTCAGGAGGATATAATGACAGAAATTGAATACAATATTCATAGATATGTTTTCAGAACAGAAAATAAGAATTGTTGCCTTTTTGTTACCTGAAGACTAAAGGCTAATTGTCTCATTTTTTAAATGGCTGTACTATATAAAATGTCCATAAAACATCAGCTTAAAATCAAATCACACTATTTTAACTCACCTTTAAGAGCCAATCCCAAAAGCTAGGGCAAGCAAGGAAAAATCTTTTTGCTATTATAAATTAAAACCTCTTCCACTTGGAAAAAGAAAAAAGGAAAAAAACTGGAAAAAGGAAAAATAAAAAAATAAAAAAATTAAAAAAAATTTAAATTTTTTCAAAAAAAAAAAAAAAAAAAAAAAAAAAAAAAAAAAAAGGGCTTCCGTTCCCCTCCTTTTTTTTTATTTATTTTATTTTAAAAAAAGGCCCCAAAAAAAAAAAAAAAAAACAAAAAAAAAAAAAAAAAAAAAAAAAATTTTGTTTGTTGATTTTTTTTTTTTTTTTTATTTGTTTGAAAAAAAAAAAAATTTATTTTTTTGGTAAAGAAAAAAAAAAAAAAAAAAATATTTTCTTTTTTTTTTTTTTTTTTTTTTTTTGTCCCCCCACCCTTTTTTAAATAAAAAAAAAAAAATAAAAAATTTTTTTTTACTGCACAGAGAAAGGAAGAGCAGTTGATATAATGGTTTTGATGTTACTTCTTATGTTTAATAATCATGTAAGAGTTCAATCTGTATTTTTTTTCCTTTTTGGTAGGAGGAGGAGTTCAACTGGCTGCTTAAAGAAGAAGTGCATGCTGTTCTAAAGCAGCTCCAGGACGTCCTCAAGGTAAGCTCCCATGTATATAGCTGGTTGAAATCAATATCACAATATTAGAGGGCCATCTCTCCGACGTGAAGATCTGTTTACGCTATCGTAAGTACTACTTAGCCTGTGAAAACGGGTGTATAATGTCGTCTGTAGGTCAGCAGGAGCTTGCGTTTATAAACTGGTGGCAGCGTGTCTGAAAGATGAGGTTGTTTACCAGGTAGGGAGGGTTTCAGAGGGCATCAATTTTGACCCCCAACTTAATGGATAATGAGTAATCACAGAGAGTAGTGGTTATTATTATAAGAAATATAAGGAAACATCTTTTAATAAGTAGCTTTAACTACGACTTAATTTTATAACTTTTATTTGTACTGTAAAAAAATAATAAGCCAAAAGTACTAATCAGGAATGTTTGTGTAACTTAATAAACTAAGTTAGTGTTACATAAAATGTTTGATGTAATCAGTTTCAACAATTTCTTTAGGTTAAAATATCTTATCACGTTACAGTGTATTATTATTATTATTATTATTATTACACTTATAAAAGACAGAGCAACAAACATGAAATCAGATTAAAGATCCCACACTCTTTGAATATGCAAATGTTGTTCATTTTTAAAGTTTTCCTGCTGGACACAAGATGTCTTATTGCGACTTCCATTGTTATGAAATATTTTAAGTGGATTATGTTGTCCCTGCTTCAGGAAGAGGTACATGAATTATTAGACCCCTACCAGTTTGCTTACAAGTGAGGGCGTGGCACAGATAATACCATTAATACCATCACACATCAGGTCACTAAACACAGGCTGAACCAATACAAACATTAATTCCTGTCTATGTCCATTAGGATCCTCAACTCAAACAGGTAGTATAGGATGTTGGCCACGAGAGTTGTGCAATATGTCGTTGTTGTCAGAAGGTGTGTGTAGGTGTCTGTGGTATGGGAATGTGGATACTGTTAATGGGAAGCTGTGTGTTGCTTAGATACTGATACTTACCGTTTTTGTTTTGTTTATAATTTTTCCTTTAATTGTGTGGTGCGTGGGGTGTTTTTCTTCTTCATCTTCATCTTCTGTGGAACTGCAGGAGTCCAAAACAAAGCATATTCTATTCTCCTTCACTGTAAAGTCCATTGTCAGTGGATGTGCACTGGTGGCTTCAGGTTTCTACATCACACTGTACAAGTTGATACTGGACCAGGACTGACTTCCAAACTATTTGTGTGGTGTCACAAAGGATGCTGGTAGGCGCCGCCCCTTAAAATCAGATGTTCAATGAAGCAGGGTTCAAATGAACTATTGTCTTCAGTCTCCCACAACTGTCCCAAATTCTTATTTCAACTGCCCCAGACTTTACAACCATTGTCCCAAATTGAAGTCTCTTAATTTAGTTCTACCTAATGAATATGGTTTAATACCTTTGTTGCAGTAACTCACTCACTGTGGTTAGACATGGTAGTTCTGCTAGTTGTACCCTGCACTTATATCTGGATAAAAAACTGAAACAGTTTTAAAAAAAATCTACAAAGGATGAAAATCAAACTAACTTTATAAATATTTACAAGTCAAACATGTTCCACATGTCACACCTACTGACTGCCTGTGCACTGCACAAGAGTAAAGGGAGAGACCCCGGCGCCATTTGTAAAAGAGCTGTGGACTGTGCAGCACACATGGGAATGAATATCAGTATAATATATTTGAATATATATTTAGCCTTTACCCTGATGGACTGAATAAGCTACTAAAGTCGCATTTCGAGATAAAGTCACTAACGGGGTCTGAAAAGTCACAAAATCTAGTGAGACAGGTGACAAGTTGGTCGGGCTATGATCTTGTCTTTCTGTGAAGTTTTATTCAAGTCATCCATGAATGGTCTCAACGCCACCATCACACACTCTCGTATGTGAAAGTCAGAAAGAGCCAAGATTGGAAGAAGCAGTATGGTTTTATCCCTGTTGGAGCGTCACTCTAACACAGTTACACATTCCTGAGTTCTGGGACAGTAAACAGACAGATAGTGTGGTGAGATGATCATGTCCTTGGCTGCTTTGTGAAGTCTCAACATCCCGCTGTTTCCCCCGCTTGGACATAGAGTGTAAATAGAAACAGGGCTAAAGGTTATATGCATATAATAGCCTCTTTAACAGTTGCGTATGGTTTTACAATGACCAGGTCAAAGGGCTGTATAGGTTCTTAAAAATTGCCGTTACAGTATGTAAGTGCACATGTGATGTAGTCTAGAGTTCATGCTGGTGTCTCCATGGATTTTATCCAATTTGAGAACCTGATAATAAAGATGTGTATACTGTCCCAGTATCTTCGTGTCCCAGGTGTTGTTTCATTGTCATCAATATCATTGAATTCATTTCAAGCACTGTCAGTGAGCACAAACAAAACAACAACAAAATCAAGTCTAGACAGACAGGCCTTGAGGTGCTTTTTAAAGGGGTCCAAAGATCTTAAATCTAATGGTGGAGAGTTTCAAAGTTCAGGAACTACGACTTTAAAATTGCAGTCTCCTTTTGTCTTCAGAGAGAGAAACAATCAATAAACCCTTGATCAGAGAACCTCAGCTTCCTGCAGTGGATGTAGGGTTGCAGTAGCTCTTTAGTGTGGGCAGGTGTCTGACCATGCAAAGCTCTAAATGTGATCGCAAGAACTTGATTGTACTTGATTCTGAATTTGATAGGAAGCCAGTGTGAAGAAATCTAAATTAATGTTACATGAGACTTTGTGTATAATGTGGTCAGAATTGTGGCTGCAGCCTTTTGGCCCACTTGTAAGCGACCCAGGGATGTCTCGCCAAGGCACGTGAAGGGGAAACTGCAGTATTAAAGACGGGAGGAAACAGGAGTGAACTAAACAGTTTACATGTTGGATAAATGCATTAGCATCCAGTCCTGACCAGATATACAATTATTATTTATATCTGTAGAATTGCTAATCCACACCTGAAATGATGCATCTTCAGTGACGATTATGATTGGATACTAATTGTAAGTTTTCTCTGCCGTCAACAGGAGGCGTCTAGACGTTTCTCCATGCCGACAGCAGGTCTGGAGAGCCAGCACAAACAGGAAAACTTCATCCTCGGCAGCTCAACGTAATAACCCCTCTCTGATTGTGTACGGTTACTATACAGTTGTATGCAAACGTTTGGGCAGCCCTTGACAAATAACATATTTAGATTTTTTAACATGCAATGTTTCCTGTGCCACTGGCTGTAACACAACCCCAACGCATGATAGATCCACCCCCATGCTTAACAGTTAGCAAGGTGTGCTTTTAATGAAATGCTACTCCTTTTTTCTCCAAACTTCACTTTGTTTATTGTGGCCAAATAGTTCTTTGTTAACTTCATCAGTTCACAGCACTTGTTCCCATAACACATCAGGGTTCTGTATCTTTGATGTGGGTGCAGGTAAGGTTTTCTTCTACTGACTCTGACTCCTGAGTCTACTAAATCTTCCTGCAGGTTTTTTGCATTCACATGGAGCTATTTCTCAATTACATTTCACACTGTGGAAACTAGCTGATAACACTTTGCTATCAGTGGGCATCAGTAACATTCATTTTCAGTCATCCACAGCTGCTCAGAGGAACCCATGGTTGCTGAATGTTCAGAAGAGACAGGGTGTTTGTAAAGCTTTGAAATGGGCACCAGCTGACGCTTCCTTATCACAATTGTTGACATGTCTCAGGCCTAACTAGCTGATGAAGGTCTGAGACCCTGTAAACTAATGCATGAATGTTTGCTGAAAATATTATATTTCATGTTTCATACCCTAGAGTCTGTGTTTACATCTTTACAATCAAAAAAATCACCAAAATATGTTAATTGTTAAGGTGTGCTCAAACCTTTGCATACAGCTGTAGCCACAATGAATCCATTACAACTGTTAGCTCGTAGGCCCTGTCTGTTACATAACAATGTCTTCCTGAGGCGGAAGTGGCTGTCAGATGCTCGGTATAAGATGGTGTCAAATATGCTGACACAGTAAATGATTGTCATTTCCTTCATGTTGTTATCTTTTAGATCAGGTGCCCTCCTTCACACACTGTAAAGCCTTTCCTTGTCATAATTTGTCTTCTCCTGTTGTTCCTCAGGCAATGTTGAAATAAAAGTGTGATGTGTTGTTTTGCAGCATGGATCAAGTAAAGGGGGTGCTGACTCTGCAGGGAGAGGCTCTGACTCAGGCTGTGAGTTTGTCTCCCTCATGTAAAAATAAAACATTGATTTAAGATAATGTGTTCCTCGTTAATGTTTTGCTTCTCTTAACAGGACATAAACCTGAAGATTGCAAAGAGCAGTCAAGCGCTGCACTTTCAGTTCAGAGAGGACAAGCAGTGGAAACTGCAGCAGGTACTCTATGTTAGTAACACTATCACAACAAGGGGAACTAAACTGAGATATCATGTTGCTACATGGCTGTAGCTGTGAGGATTATGTGATTCTTTTTTCTCTCATAAGGAGACAGTGTAAAACTACATAAACAAATAAATCTTCCCATCAATTTTTGCTTTGTATGCTTTGTTCTCGTTTGCTCGGTGGCTCAGAGGTAGAGCGGGTCAACCACTAATCGGAAGGTTGGCGGGTCGATCCCCAGCTCCTCTGGCTGCATGTTGAAGTGTCCTGGAGCAAGATACTGAACCCCAAATTGGTCCCGATCCTGTGCATATGAATGATTAGTTGGCACCTTGCATGGCAGCCATCACTGTACACTACTACAGTAATGGCAGTGTATGAATGTGTGTGAATGGAGTGAGCGTAACATGTAGTGTTCAGTGCATTGAGTGGTCGAAAAACTAGAATGGCGCTATATAAGTACAGTCCATTCACCATTTACAATTTGTTGCTCGCTAACATGAGATAGCTGTCCATTGATGGCAACGTGCTAGTTAGCATTACATGTTGGTACCTGGTTGTTGTTAGCTACTGATGTTGTAACATGCTTGTTAGCTTAAGGTGTATGTTACTTGGTTGTTGTTGTTAGCATGTTGTTAGCTGATGGGGCTTGCCCTTGTAGTTTTGCTATAAGATAGAATATAGATATAAGGCTGGATGAAGCAGCTGAGTATCTGCTCTTTGTTAGGGTGAGTGTGGGATTTAAAGGCAGTTTAAATGTACGTTAGATCAGGGTTAGAGAGTGGTGTCACCTGCCTGATACACACTGCAGAGCCTAATGATATTGTAGTTCAAAATATCATTTAACACACATTCTGGGCACATTCTTTCAGCACATTTCACTGCATATTGATAACTGGTGTCTAGACATACCTTCTTATCTTTGCTTATTTGTATTATTATTTATTAAGTATTATTATCTCATGTCTCTGTTTATTCATCAGATCCAGGATGCTAGGAACCATGTGAACCAGGCTCTCCAGTTGCTGAGCAGCCACGATGACAGCTACCATTTCAAGACAGGTGCTGAGGTTAATAAGGTCTGTCCTCTGTCTCCTCGCTGTAATCACATCCAGCCAGAACAGAGCTGAACATGGATCAGATTATGGCCCTTTACTGTGTCAGTGATACTAGCTTCCTGTTTCTGTTACTGCCGTAGCTCATGGATGCAGTGATGCTCCAGCTGACGCGAGCACGGAACCGCCTCACCACCCCGGCCTCCATGACGCTGCCCGAGCTGGCCACTAGTGGTCTGATGGTACAGGACAGAAGACAGTAGACACTACACTGCTTTAACACATTTAGGACCAGAGTGTGACTGACAGTGGAGTTTTGAGGTGGAAATCATTTTTATTTTATTTTATAACGAGTTTGGTCTATACCAGTGGTATTGCAATAGGATAACTGCAATAGGAAATATGGAAAACATTTTTTTTTTTAAACTTTTATCACATTTTTTGGAAGTTGATACTACAAGGAAGGAATTAGAGTTGGCTCTTTTTACTAATTGTAATTTATAGTAACCCCAATTGTATCACTGATTGACTATGAAGATTTGAAGAGACTTGAAACCTAGAAATATAAAAAAATATACTCGGGGGGATTCATTAAGACAAAGAAGTGTCCAAAGAAAAACAGGTTCCCATAATATTGGCCCAGTTGCACCGTTGAGAAAGATATAAAGATGATTTGGGTTGGAGTATTGACAGTATGTATAGTGGACAGAGTTTCCAGGTCTAAAAAGTGAAGCCAACGCGGAAGTGTCCTGCATTCTATATCAAGGCCAGCACGGGGAGCCCCATTATAACACACAGATACCAGGTACCTGGCTCGCACTGGCTCCGTCGAACTGTCATGGTCAAAAACACCAAATTCAAGGCTTCAAAATGGTACTCCACAAACCAAGGGGTGATGTCATAATAGGTTCACACTTGGGTTGGAAGCTTGAAGAAATCCTGAACACCAGGCCTGGTGGATATCAACAATCAGCTATCTTTTCTTTGCTCTGATTGGTTGTTTTCATTTAGGCCTAGTTGATTCTTACAAATGCCATTAGGAGCACTAGGAGGAGCCAGAAGAACCTGATTTTTATCTGTCTCATGTACTACTGTCAGGATATAGTGAAAGTTTCAGAAAATATGACAAAGTTATTTTTATAAAAGCTACCTACTACAGCTTTAAAGATAGGCTTTGTCTTAATTTAGAATCTTAGAATTTTGTGTTGCAGAAAAGTTCTTCCAACTTTGTTTGTTCCAAAATCCCGCTGTGTCAGCGCTGGATAAAGATCTGTGTCCACACATTATCATTCTGCAATGGGTGGAAAAACCCCTCCGGCTTGTTTATATTTCTTTAAACCTATTGCTATTGTCTTGGGTGATGCTAAGCCCAAGATGCACTGACAGTGCAACTGCAAAACAGTGTCGGGGGGGACTTGTTTTAGTGGAAAATGTGCACTTGGGGAGGCGAGCACTTGTTAAAATGGTTAAATCCCTGAATAAGAAAAAATGAACAGCTGCTAGCTTGTTTATGTTGGTACCATTAGCGTACTAGGTTAAGGTAACGTGCCATTTTGAGCAGTTTTTGTAGGTTGTTGTTGTTTCCTGTAGCAAAGGGGATTTTTGAAAACGGTAATGTGTAGACAGCGGAAGGGAAAGAGAATGCTGTTATAAGAGCAGGTTAATGCTCACATATGTTAACTATCACATATGGTTGAAATGTTAGGGTGTCCACATACTATTGGCCATGTAGCAAAGGTAAAGGAACATTTTACAGCTGAAGGTTTAAATTGTTAGTGGAACAGCACACACACCTAAAGACAAAACATAAGTCTATGGATCACAACTAGAGGTGGGCGATATATATCGTTTGCGATAATATCGTCATTGTTGTTTTGACGATGTGCAAATTTCCATTATCGAGTATTTAAATTACTTCGACAAAAATATTGAAACGCACGCGGAAACTCCTCACATCCATTAATACATGGTGCAGCAGCGCTCTCTACAGCATGGCAGGATTCAGTCACACAACTAGTGGGCCTACGTGATCACATAACATGATCACGTGACCTCTCGCTAGCATCCTCCTTGCAACAGTTTAGCAGCGCGTTGTGATGGTAGAGAGAAAATGCAAGCACCTCTAGTCCCTGAAGCTACCGGTACTTCAGATGATTTAGTGCCGAGACGTGGGTCCTATGGGCTTCAGCGTTCAGAGCGCTAAGCGCCTTCAGCGGTAAAAAGATGTCAGCGGAGTCGGGCTTTTTTTAGCGCAGCGCTCAGAGCGCTTCAAGTTGAAATCTGTTCAACTTTTAACACCGCTGGGCGCTCGGAAAATGAGTTCTTGAGCTCTCAGCGCTGTAAACGCGTTTGGTGGACACAAGTCCAGCTCAGACAATTCCAATCACATTTTAAAGGATATCGACTGATTATCGTTATCGCCAAAATCCCCAAAAATATTGAGATATTATTTTTTGCCCATATCGCCCACCCCTAATCACAACTTATACACACATGCTGTTTTTCCATATTCCTGTCCTTCCTTAGTTCACTCTTCCTCTTTGTCTCCCCACATCACCAGAAAATGTTCACTCCTCCCATGCCCGGGGACGTGATGGTGAACTTTTACATCAATTTAAGCAAACTGTGTCTGACTGTCTACCAGCTTCATGTGCTGCCACCCAACACAACAAAGGTTCGAACTTGCATCTCTCTGCAACACCACATGGAGCTACACACAGCGCCATGTGACTGATGTTTTCAGGTTTTCTCTCTCGTCTTTATAGAATTTCAAGCCAGCTGGAAGCTCAGTGTTGCACAACCCCGGAGCAATGTTGTAAGTCCTGCTTCGTTTCTTTTCCTTTGTTCTCTCTTTCCATGACATACAGTGTACAGAAACACATTGAAGTAAATTATGCACACAATGAATACATTCAAAAAGAAGTAATATATAGTAAATGGAAAGAGACAGGCAGTCAATGATAGCACTTAAATTGAGAAATACTCCCCACATCCAGGGAGTAAGGTCCCTTTAATCTCTCTTTGCTCTTTGCTGTGAACACTTTTCCTCCACAGCGAGCTCAACAGCAACCGGTTTGAGGTCAGCCACGTGCACAAGGTGGAGAGTGTGGTGCCTTGGCTTAACGATACGCTGGTATTCTTCACTATCTCCCTGCAGCTCTGTCAGCAGCTCAAGGACAAGGTGGGTGTCTCGCCTGGATGATGAATACACAAAAATACATGGCACGGTAACACTTTATAATGAGTACACGCTATTAAGCATTAGTTAAGCATGAATAAATACTGAATTCATCATTTATAACACATGAATACACATTAGTATGTAGTTTATAAACACAGTTAAAAATGTTTTATTCATCATTGATGAGCACATTAGTTATGGATTAGTAAATACTGAATTCATCATTTATAAAGCATGATTCTGTGGTAAATAGTCATTACTATGTGGTTTATAATCACAGTTATAAATGTTTTACTCTTCATTGTACTGTACATTTCTGCATGCACTTGCACATCCACTATTCAGACATGTATTAATGATTAGTGACTGTGTTAGCACATGTTCTATAAAACTCACAACAAATTCATTTTCTAATGATGGCCTATAAACAGTGATTAATGCAGGAATTCACAGTTACAAAGCACTTACTACTCCTTAATTAAGTATTTTGCACAGGCTCATCTAAAGTGAGCACTATCTATGGCTTATTAAGCATTTACAAATGAGATATAAAGGCTGACAATCCCTCGCTCCCTGACTAACGTTACTAACGTTACAGACCCACCCGTGGTGGCTAAGCCGACCTAGTCTAGTCTCGTCTAGCTGGGCGAGGTGAGTGCCTAGTAGCGGCGGGTGGTAACGTTAGTAACGTTAGTCGGGGAGCGAGAGCAAACACCTGCGGCTGCTGACAAGCTAATGTTAGCTTTCAACCATAATGTGTGCTACCAAACAAAGACACATACTCTCCACTAGTGCCGCTGACGGCCGCCGACTCCAATGTGCTTCTCCATGCTCCCCTTGGCTGCACTGTCAGAAACTTCTGAGAGTTAACGTAAATATGACGTAACATCTCGCCTCCCGCTCTCAGCACGTTGATGACGTGCTGAGAGCGGGAGCTCAACGTACACGTCCCAAACAGATAAGATCACAACAATAGCATGTCTTCATAAACCAGCCTTGTTCGTCTTCATACAATATGTTGGGAAGTTGCCGTAAATATCAATACAATATGTTCTATATCCCTTTGTGTTGTGTCTCTCCTTCGTCTGTTAAGATAACTGAACATTTTGTGAGTCTCGAGGCATTGTCAGCCTTTATATCTCATTTGTAAATGCTTAATAAGCCATAGATAGTGCTCACTTTAGATGAGCTCGCGCAAAATACTTAATTAACGAGTAGTAAGTGTTTTGTAACTGCCTCAATTCATGAATTCCTGCATTAATAACTGTTTGTAGGCCATCATTAGAAAATGAATTTGTTGTGAGTTTTTATAGAACATCTGCTAACACAGTCACTAATCATTAATACATGTCTGAATAGTGGATGTGCAAGTGCATGCAGAAATGTACAGTACAATGAAGAGTAAAACATTTATAACTGTGATTATAAACCCCATAGTAATGAGTATTTACTGCAGAAACATGCTTTATAAATGATGAATTCAGTATTTACTAATCCATAACTAATGTGCTTATCAATGATGAATAAAACATTTTTAACTGTGTTTATAAACTACATACTAATGTGTATTCATGTGTTATAAATGATGAATTCAGTATTTATTCATGCTTAACTAATGCTTAATAGTGTGTACTCATTATAAAGTGTTACCCATCGCACTTGATGCATCTTAAAGTGACATGACTCCTCAAAGCTGCAGTCATCACTAAGGAGGAGGGATGTGAAGTTTTAACCACTCTGCTCATTTCAGATTTTGCTTTATATAGTATCCTCAGTGTTACAAGAATATAGAGAAAAGAGACTCTCCAAAATGACGTAACAATCCCATAGGTTAATGTTATGACCACCAGTTGTGATTATTTCAGTGCTGTTTCTGAAAAGAATCACATTTTGGCAGGCAGTCGGCTCTAAAGGCTATAATACTCCGTTGCCATGGAGAAGAAGCCAGTCTGAGGCATGAACCAGAGGGGTATAGAATTCAAAACGCTGTCGTTGCCCATTGAGAACCAAAGACATCAGGCATTGTAGTTGTTGATTTCATCAAAAATTGGCGCATTTTGGGGAGCGCCTTGAAAGCAGAATGGTTAGATAACTGTTCAACCAGCCAGATTCCAGCCAGTAACCTTGGTTGCATGTCATACCCCTCTCTCTTTCCTGAATGCCTCTTAATCAGTCATTATTCAATAAAAGCAATAACAAAAATGCCCAAAATGGCTCGTTTTGGATTTCATAACTTGAGCTATTAGCTATGAAGGATGGAATTAAGTAAGTTTTTAATTAGAGACAAGCTAATCCAGACAATTAGTTGAAGTAGACCAAAAAGAACAGAGTTCCCCTGCATCCTGAAAAACCTGGATATTTAACTAAAATGACCAAATATCCTGGAAATGATCTATGTTGTCCTCACTCAGGTTGCTTACGTAAACCTGGCTGTGATAATAACAACATAAAGCAAGTCAGTGCAGACCTACCAGAGTGTTTGTCAGCAAGTGCTCTCCTGTACTGTCAAGAAACCACCTGGAAAATATCCTGGAATGGTCCTGGAAAATGATTGCTCAAAAAGAGTGGGAACTCTCTCTCTCTCTCTCACCCCAACTGGTCGAGGCAGACGACCACCCACCTAGAGCCAGAGGATCTGTCCTAGGTTTCTGCCTTTTAACAGGCAGTTTTTCCTTGCCCCCGTCGCCAAGGTCTTGCTCATGGTGGTACTGTTGGGTCTCTGTAAATAATGTTATAAGGAGTTTGGTCTAGACCTGCTCTATTTGAAAAGTGTCCTGAGATAACTTTTGTTATGAATTGGCGCTATACAAATAAAATTGAATTGAATTGAATTGAACCCTGAAAGAGCTAAAAGGAGAGTGAATATTGGACTTGGAATTATCAGGTCGATAATATGTCAGATGTGGGGTTTTCAGCTAGTTCCGCTGCCTTCACCTGACCAAAGAAATCAATTACGGCAGCCTCAAGATAGCTTCCAATCACCATTCTGATATTTGATTCTGCTGCCAGTGTCCTCAAGGGATCCAGTAACTGTCAAAGCTGTCTCGTTTGTAAATGCCAATTGATAAGGTGACTACTTGAAGGCTACTGTTGGCCTGAAATACAATATATGGTTGGTTGGTTGGTTGGTTGGTTGGTAGATAATTAACCGTTCCTCCCATCCCTGCAGATATCTGTCTTCTCCAGTTTCTGGAACTACAGACCTTTCTAATCCACCTCCCGTCCATCCTCCGGAGACCGGTCAGACCCAAACTAACCACCAAGTGTAAGGGACATCCTGGGAAGGTTTTTATTTTTTTACATATATTTATCATCCTGTCATTTAGTTGTAAGTGTTGCATGATTAGCCGAGGGAGCCAATCCAACCCCGACAGATACCAATGTTTGCAATTTCCCAGTTGTTTCTCTGATGTATGTGTTGCATCTCCCAGCACTGACTTGAACTTCTCAATGAATGAATGTGATTGTTGCTGTTGATTTTATTATTAGAATGATTTTTTGTTACCAGTACTTTCTGAGTATTTATCTGATTCTCATCCCAAAGTCTTCTGAACTGTCTTGTTGTGTGGAACACTAATGTGTGTACTCAGGGTCGGAAGACTAGGCAGCACTAAGAGCTCACAGTGGGAGGTTCTTTCCTGAAATACTTTGAGTTCCTTCACAGCAGTTTCAAAGTTTCTTGCCTCACATACAGTCCTACTTTCTTTCTCCCAGCTTTCTAAAGAGCGCCTAATTTTAGACGTCATATTCATTTTCCTGTGTCTCTGAAGGAGTTTTATCTGAGAAAGGAACTCAGGTGACATCTAAGGTTGTCACAATACTAGAATTTTAAACTTTATAAAAGACTAGTATTAAAAAAAAATACTTAATACCTCTTTCAATACCATAGCAAAAAAAGCCCTTAGCACACATAATATAATAATTTTTCTTTTCTTTTTTTAAATTAAGAACTTGCACACAGTGCTGGTACAGATAAAGTTACTAAACAATGTACACATTTGTAATAATGTTAATAGTTAAGACTATTATTATTATTCTTAAATATTTTCCCTACTTTGTAGGCCTACACATTCTTTATGTTGTTCCTTTAAGTATTATTTATTTTTTTCTCTAATGTTGCTTCACTTGTAGACAGGTGCTCTCCATGGCTTTTCCTTGTACAAATAAAGGAGAAATAAAATCCTTCCAATGGGAAACTCAAACCGTAACCGTCAAGTAATGCAGATTGTATTAAAAAAAAGTATCCAAGTATTGATACTTTTGACTACCTTGTCGTGGGGTGGTTTTAGGGCTGCACGATTATAGCTAAAGTGATCATCTTGATTATTTTGATCAATACGATTATTTCATCTAGAGAGTACTAAAAATCTGAATATGACCTTTGTCTTGTTTTGTAGACGCATTTTTGTTGAACAAGAGCAGTCAGTGTCAAGCTAACTGACAAATACTCTGCACTTCCTGTGACTAGCGTACTTCAAAATAAAAGTCAACTTGTGTTTCTCAAGTTAAATGTTGTTAATGTGAAGCTGCAGCAGTAGGAAATGTTTAGTGTTTTTAGTATTAGCTTAATACAGCATTTCTTCCAGGAATAAAAGTATCCGGGCTGCAGCAGCAGGGTGTGTGTGCAGCGACAGGACGGCTCCCCAAAAGGAAAACCAGAACGTCTCACCTGTGGTGGCTGCTGTTAGTTTAGGGTTAGAGTTTTGAGAATGCTGTTATAGCATTCCTTGAGCAGAACATTTAAAACCTCAATATCATAGACGATCACCTTAACTTAATTGTAAGAAGCCAAGATTGTGATTGCTATTGATATTCAATGTTGGTCTATTCTGGTCTGGATCAGTGGATGACTTCTCTTTGTTCGGTTGTTAGAAACTCGAAGTGTGGTTGATAGAAGTGGGATTTACTAGGAAGGAGGGTCTGACAAAGACATTTTTGAGTTGCATTATGGGATGTGTACGATCCAATGTTTTTGGAACTCGACCTTTGCTGCCAAGATTTTGTATTTACTTATTTATTTATCTGTCTGTTGTAGGTCATCTGTAAGGAAGTACAATACAAAAACACTTAAACTTTGAATCATTAACAATCCACCTGCACTAATAAAGCCATCCACAGTACTGTGTCTGTTTATGGTCTCCTAGATGACACTAAACTCTTGTTTTAGAAACTACAAGGGCACTCAGAGACCGCAGACTCACATCTTTTGTTGTCTGTTTAGTTACAGCACACCATTCACACCAAGTCCACACAAAACAGAAATTAGATTGCTGTTTGCTTCTGCATATTTATGTATTTCATGTAAAAACTGGCAACTATGGAGGGACTGGTCACTGTAGCCTATAGTGCTGAATGTGTGTTACGTCCCCCTGCCAAGCAGCTATAATCATCCTTTTAGCTGACTGGGAGCTCCCAGTGAACAGAACAGCCAGACCGGGACTGAATGCAGCATTTGATGCTGGTGGAGGACAGTTTGGCGTCAGGGAATACAGGACAGAGTTTTTTTGTTTTTGCTGGGTTTTGCTCTGGTATCCCAGGGCTGGGTCCGCTAATGTTATCTGCCATTAGCTAGTTAGCTTGTGAAGCTAACATTAGCTGCTTTTAGCTAAAAGTCCATCAATCACCTTGGTACCAGTGACTTCAAACTGCCCTCCATCTGTTTTGTAGGTTGTGTTCACTGGGAGACTGCTGAGTCCCGTTCGGTTGCACGCTAACGGTAACTACATTAGCAGTTAGGAGGACTTCAGAGGGAAAACCAGAAAATATTTTCTCCGTAAAATATGATCAAGGTTTTACCCAAATCACTAATAAAGTTGCGTCTTTGTACAATAATCAGTGAGGCCCAGCCCCCAAAAACAACGGCAGAAAGCCATGGTGTTGCTAGCTAGCTAACTAATGAGTCTTCACTCTGTGTAGCTAAAAGTTGAAGCTTGATTGACAGGTGGATGTCATGATATTATTGGTTGAAATTGGGTGGTTCACACTATGTAATTATTGGATTTCAATATCAAGATTTTCTTTTGGCATGCATTGTTAAATAGCGGTACAGTTTGACAGGGGATGTGATCTTAAAGGGTTAAAAGGGCATTTTTCATTTCATCTGGACTTTAACTACTTTAACATGCACAACAATTTCACTTCATTTTGCCATAGACACCGGTGTTACAATAGACCGCAGTGTTAACAAAAGTGAAAAATAATCTGCCCCGAGATTTGGATCCTCTCCAAACTTTAATGGTTTTCTCTTGGCCCATGCTTCACCCTTCCAACAAGTTTCATTTCAATCAGAGCAGTAGTTTTTCTGTAATCCTACTGACAGACAAACAGCACTGAAAACAAAAAAACCTTTACTCTGATTTCTTTTCAGTTTCACTAATTCTGTAATTATTCTTATGAGACAGGTTTTAGGTCAAGTTTAAAGCACTGGGTGTTGCACAGTATGTTGGCAATGTGACAGTATTGGAAAGGGAAGGCAAAGGGGAAAATAAACAGTCAAAGCTATGAGGGGATACAATAGTATGAGGGAAAACATTTCCCACTGTGAGTGTTTAGAGGATACATTCACTGACAGTACAGTATCATCTGTTCGTGGCCCAGTTCCAATGTCCCACTGTCTCAGACACTTTCCTCAGAGCTGTCTTACAGTAAATCAGGAGGTGCTTCAGAGCTCTTGAGTCCTTTTATGTGTGTGTGTGCAGCTCCACAGACGTCGCTCAAGGCTATAACCCACAATATACATAATACAATACATAAACACAATGCCAGGGTTGCTTCATCCAGGTAGCCTGACTGCCCCATTCCTCACATGCTGTGTTATGCTAGCAGCAGCTAATGTAGCCTGGAGCAGCTAGCCTGCTGCCCAGATGAGGAGCGGTCCACAGAGGTCTGGTAAGATGACTTTTTTTCTAACTCCAAGATTTGTCTCATTCTTCAGCCCCAAACGACGCTGAGCCAATCACCTGAGGACATTTCTCAGACTGCACACAGCTCCCTGGAGACACTAGAGGCTTTATACAGCTGACATTCAGTAATGCTCTCCCACACCTGGAGACACTTAGATTTTAAGCATGATCAGCCGTGAAGGGGAGCTGCACTTTCTGACGGTTCAGGCCTTAGGCAGGCTTCCCACGCATCCTGGAAAATCTGGAAATGCAGAGACTAGTTTTCCAGTCATGGGAACGCCTTGAAATGGATTAAAAAATGTTATTGTATTTTAGCTCCCCAACATGAATCCATTTTTTCCAGAGCTGCGAGCAGAATACTCATGAAAGCCCAATGGAGACATTTCTTGTTGTGGTTAATAAATACTTCCACAGCCATGTTAATTACTTCCAACAAACACTTTATGCTTCTTATTTTAACAGGCTAATAGGTGAGAAGATGAATTTTCTGTTAAATAAAATTAATTCTATTTCATTTGGTACTTATGGGCTGTGGACACAGGTGAAAGATTGGCTGTGGTGGGAACAGCTAAGTGTGCCATAAGAAAGAAAAGAAAAAAAGTGGGAACCTTGTCGAGGCCAAACGTGGCCAGCTCAGGATGTGCCGCACACGGACATCAGTTTTCTGACTTGTAGTCCGTTTTAGGGGTCAACCACACATGTATCTGCTATTGGTTCAGGCCTGTTGAAGTGAAGAAGAAATCTACAAAGGTTTTTATTTGTTTGTCGCTCGCTCACATAGAATGGAATGGAATGGGAGGCCAGTATTCACCAGTGGCCATTTTGCATGTGTGAGACTGTGCCCTCACTCCACAATCACATCATATTGAAGGTAGAGGCAGGAAAAGACTCCCATGTTAAAAACCTGCGTTCATGTCATCAAGGCGGTTGTATGATTAAAAAGTTGGTCGTGTGAGAAATAACTACATCCATTAAATTTGGGTTTAATTACAATAAAAGCCTCCTTTTCATATTTGGTTTTAAGTGTCCAAGTAATTAAGTAATTTCAACTTGGATGTTGACCTGAACGCTGTTTACATCCGGGCAGACATTGGAGCTGGGCCAGCGCTTTGTTGCTTTCTGTTTAGTCATTGCTCATTTGGAAGAAATGACACAACTCACATTCCCTGTTTGCTACTCCACAGATATGTCTAAATGATAAGCTACTTGTCGTGTCTGTTGACCTGTGTCTATAACCTTTGATTTCATGTCTCTGTCTGCTGTATGTTCATATTTATTCTTCATGTTTTGCACATGTTGTTGATTCCCTGTGAACCAAAACACTGATCCAATCAGGAACAAATGACTTCATTCCAGTAAGTGTTAATCTATTTTGAAAAGTTGTTATCATAAAATGTGGAAATGATGTATCTGATATCTGTGCAATAAAGATATTCTAAAACAATAAGCTGTCCATATTGAATTCTCTGCTTCCTGCTGCTGCAGTGAGGTTACATATATTCATTAAACATGATATTACAGTTTGTGTTTGTGTTCAGTTCAAAGAACATGCAGAGGTTTAAAGCTTCATTGTGTAGTCACATGTAAAGACTTTGACTATGGCTCAGAGTAAACAGTGGTAGTAGTCACATCTTTGACTTAATTATAGAGCAGTAGAAACACTACTGCTTTTGTCCAGATTCAACACAAAATCACAGTTCCTTGTAGCTGCTTTAAAGCTCTAGTGTAACATTGAGGAGGATCTATTGCCAGAAAGTTATCATTAGTGTAATTGCCTTAATATAGGAATTGTGTTTTTATTTTCAAAACAAACGTTTTCCATATTTAGAAACTGCTCGTTTTCTCACAATTTAGTTTTTCTCATTTCAAAACAAAAATCTGTTTATATATATATATATATATATATATATATATATATAATATATATATATATATATAAATATATATATATATGGACACAAAGTACACTGACCCCAGACTATGGCTGTGATCAAATAGTCCAAAAAGTATAGTATATATATATATATATATATATATATACATATATATACATATATATATGTATATATATATATATATATATATATATATATATATATATATATATATATATATATATATATATATATATATATATATATATATATATATATATATATATATACATATACATATATATATATATATATATATGTATATATATATATATATATATATATATATATATACTTTATATATATATATATATATATATATATATATTTATATACTATATATATATTATAGCATACATATACATTATTATAATAAATATATTTTTGTCAATATCATATCTGATGGTATTCCATTATATATTTGATGAAAATGAACCATGAAGTCACATCTCAACTGTCCGAGGCCTGTAATAAAAACCCTGGTTGTCGCTGCCCCAAGGAAGTCAAAAATAGAGAATAACTTTTCCATTGCTTTTTTTCACTGCTTTAAAAATGGCCAGAGCAGCTGACCTGTAAATCTTCCTGCTGTCTTACAACTCAAACTGTTTTATGAAGTGTACCTTCATATGATTGTGTGCACTTTGTCCTCTTTTGTCTGGTTGTTTGAAAAGTGTTCCATAACCGAACAGGGTATGATGAAAAGGAACACACAAACACTAAGCAAAGTTTTATTACTTTTATGTGTTTATTACTTAATAAAACATTCAAATTAAAACATTATCCTTCAAGATAAGGAAGAAGAAGAAGAAAAGAGGGAGTGACATTCAAATCTACAGAGACATAAAAACGCAGCCAGCTCATCTGTGGTATCCTAGCAATAAGTCCCACAGTGACAGTCAACAAGATCACGTGTGTTAGATTTCCATAACTGGGTAGCAACTATTCATTCTGTGTGCAGGTAGACTTCATTAAGCTGCAGACTAAAATCAAAGCTTGTGTTTTGGCACAGGACTCAAACTATCAGGCTCTGCTTCTGGCTCCATCAATACTTGATCAGTGCAGTTCAGCTGTCAGGGCTCCAGAGCCATGTTCTCTATGCCGACCTTCCGTCGTCGAGGCTGTCAAAGAAGCACAAGGAATTCATGTTCTCTCATATGACACAGCTGTAATTATCAGAGCGCACTAATAACCTCTGTTCAGTGACAGAATCAATGATGACACTGGTCTCTGGGTGTTAAAGGTCGCTGTAAGCGTAAGTGTTCAATAGTTCTACATTCTGACAGACTGATATCGAGTGTTCTCTCAGTCTCTCCTTTCTGCAGTAAACAGAGAATACATTTTCCCACTTATGGTACATATTGTTCAATGAGTATTGTACAATATATAATATTGTATTGCATTGACAGTGTAAGAGGCTGCCCAGGGTGGCCCCATTATCCTTCCCTCTTCCACTCCACACTGTCCTTCAGAGGCTGTAGTGTGCTCTGTTTTGAAGCTGGAGTGAAGATACTGGTATCATTTAAAACTAGCTGATTTACCACATCCATTGGGACCGTGTTATAATAGCATATCTGGCAGGGGGCTAAATAATGCTCCAAAGTTAGGCAAAATGTTAGTGATGGAAAAACTGGCATGGGCACTTTCAAAGGGATCCCTTGACCTCTGCGCTTAAATGATCTGAATGAAAATGGGTTCTATGGGTACCCACAAGTCTCCCATTTGCAGACATGCCCACTCTATGCTAATCGCATTCTTGTGGCAAAAATGTGTTATTTTCTCATATTTGAATATTTCTGCATACTGGGGTCCATAAACGGTGTTGGAATTGCATAAATCAGGAATTTCTGGAAAGCTGAGACACATACGCCATGCCACCCCTGCATAGGTCAGTGCCCCACTTGAGCCCCCCAGTCAAAAAAGTCTGGAAACGGGTGCCCAGTTAGCTCAGTGGGTAGAGCTGGCGACCCATGTACTGAGGCTGAGTCCTTGCTGCAGCGGCACAGGATTTGAATCCGACCTGCTGCCTTTTGCTGCGTGTCATCCCCTCTCTCTGCCCCCCTTTCCTGTCTGTCTTCAGCTGTCACTATCATAAAGGCAATAAAAGCCCAAAAAATACTACTCTGCAAACGCCCCTGCTTCTGTGTGTGTTTACCTTCTCGTCGTCGCAGCAGCAGCAGCAGCAGCGGATGAGGACCAGGATGACCAGCAGCAGAATCATACCTGACAACACACACAAGCGCCACAACATTTGGCCTCCTGCTGCACCAGAAGACAGCCAACCAACATATTCATTCCGACAGCCTGCCTGCCTCAGACTGCCTTTTTCTCTGGCTTGGTTTAAGCAATGACAAAGGCATTTATGTCAGTGAACACGTAATGAGTCAGATATTTTTCTGGTGTTAGCCCTGTTCAATCTGAATGAATGCTGTGAATTGCTCATCAGTGGTGGGAGGGTGAGGGAGGATGGAGACATAGTGTTCAAATCTAAACATCTATCTATCTTGCATTTGCCTTCAGTAAGAAAGTCTTTATGAATATGGACATTGATGTTTATAGCAACCATCGTCAGTTTCATTTACAGTCACTCACCGATGAAGATGAAGAAGACTGCAAAAGAGGCAATGTCCCAGTCGGACTGGAAGAGCTGCTTGGAATGCAGTCTGGAGACCACATCGTTGAACTGATCCTCGAACTCCTGCTTCAGGTCCCTCGGCTCCATTGCTGTCTGCACACAGAAACACACACAGAGTGTGTGAGAGCAGGGACTGAATCACTGCAGGCTATTATCATTAGTATTCATCTAATTATTAGGAGGGGATCTTTTAATGACCAATATGAACTGGCCGTGTTCACACTGCAGGCGCAGGTGGCCCAGATTTGACTCAAAACCAGATGGAATCTGATCTTTTTAATTTGGGTCACTCATACGTGGTCCAAATCAGATACAGGTTTGATTCTCTGCAATGTGACCTCAGTGTGAGCAGACACATCAGAATTCCTAATGTGGGTCACTTCAGGACCTGTTTACACTGGAATCTGATATTGGCCACATTTGAAAAATAATGTGAACATCCGGATAAACTATCAGATCTGAGAAAAAAAAATTGTAATTAATTAATTAAGGCCAGTAAGCAGTCCCTCCAGAAAAACGTGATTATGCAATCGCATAATTAAATGCATAATCAGCCAAAGTCCGCATATTAATGCGGGGCCGAATTTTTTCAAATACGCCACACTTTCATCGCATAAATTGCAGTTTTCCACGCAAAATATGCATGATTTCATAATCCCCGCATTTTCGTTGCAAAAAAGTCACATATATCTTAGCAGAAAGTTGAAAAATGTTGCATTTACTTCACACAAGAGCAGCCATTTTCCCCTGTTGCCATGGGAACATTATGAAGTGACGTAATTACGCAACGTGAACATCAACGAAAAGCTGCAAACCCCGCGATGAAGCCATGATGAAGCCCGCAAATCAGTCTCATTTGCCAACAAAAATAATTATTAATTATTTTAACAGAAGATGTCTGTTTTGTATAGATACCTCTGTAAGACAGGAAGCACACATTTCATTTTTTTATATTTTATTTATTGATTTTTACAGAAGTTGTAGCATATTCCTTTTGTAAAGCTACAGAACTTGTTTGACTCATCAATGTTTTGTAAGTTTAAGCCATGTGTTTATTAAGTTTTGAAATAAAACAAGATGAGAACTTAAATATTCCCAGCACTTTCTGTGATGTAGTGTGCTTGCTTATCATAGGAAGTAATAAGAAATGACTCTTTACATTAAGGTAGTAGCCTAGTGAGAACAGGGTGTTGGGGAAATCACTTTTTTTTCTCTTTTTCTCTTTTTTTGCAAGTTCCCGCAATTTCATCGCATTAAATTGCATAAATATCCCGCATATTCCATTGCATTTTTTAAGAAAACAAGCAACAATCACAAAAAAACTCCGCATTTTTCTGGAAGGACTGATTAAGTGTGTCAGATTTTATTTGTAGAGTTTGACACATAAGACAAAGTTCTCTGTTTGCAATGGAAGAAGTTATCCACTGCAACAGTACTTTTGGTGTCATAAGTCTATGGGTGGGCACTTATATGTGCATGCCACAATAAAAAACAGAAATAACTAACTAAAAAGATTAGGGTTGATATAAATCCAGCAAATGAAAATAAAAGCTTACAAAAATGGAAAAGGGGACAAAAATCCCCATGTGTTACAGCTTTCTATTAGTTGTGACATACATACATACCTAACTTTGAATAATGGCTGAATTCTATTTAGCTATTTTTTCCTGTCTTCTAATGGAGTCATCATTAGAGCTGCAGTAGGTCATTTTTTGTCAAATTTGCTGAAATTTTCACTATATCCTGACAGTAGAACATGAGACAGATAATCTGTAAAAATATCAGGTTCCTCTGGTTCCTCTGGTTCCTTTGGTTCCTCTGGTTCTTCCAAGTGCTGCTAATGGTATTTACAAGAATCCACGGGGCCTGAACACATCACAGATTTTCAGCAAATATGACAAAAAGTTATTTTTATTAAGGTTACCTACTGCAGCTTTAATATTACAACAGTTGTGACTTTGCTACTATGACAAGTCTAGTCTGGGCGACTGTGGTTGTGGTAGAGCGGGTCGTCCACCAATCAGAAGGTTGTTCGCATGTAGAAGTGTCTTTAACCAAGATACTAAACCACAAATTGTGTGTATCGGTGTGTGAATGTGAATGAATTTCTGTTTCTTTGCCATTAATGTGGCACGTAGTGTAAAAGCACTTTGAGTGGTTGGAAGACTAGAAAGGCGCTATACAAGTACAGGTCCATTTACCATTTATATTTAAATGTCTGCCAGGAAAATGGCTTATTCATGGAGATCAAAAACATATAACACTGATATCTGACATACAGTAGGCCTCACATGTTTAACATTATTTAATTACCTCTAGCTGTGAAATGTATTTATTTTATTCATACTCTGTGTGTTTTGTATATTGTGTTACATTACATAAGAGCAACAGTAGCTCAGTGGAAATTAAATACTTTCTTACAACAAATAAATGTTTCTGGAATCATAATCAATGCACAAAAACGTCGTCATCATCAATGGATGCTAAACAATAAATCCATCCAAGCAGCATATATTAACAGAAAAGAGAGGAAGGAAAAACACAAACAAACAAATAACTAACTAAACCAAAACAAACAAAAAACATCTAAAATACAAGTTAAATTGTATTAACTGAAAGAGGTTTTATTTAAGATATAACACAAGTAGTTCAGAGTTTTAAGGCACTTCTCTTTTCCACTTGTCTTAAGGATTTAAAGAAAATCTTCCAGTCATGTATAAATGCCACAAAGCTCTGAGCAACTTTCAAATACTGGTACACAATGTAACATTTACCTGTAACGGAAATATTATTACACACAAATTCACCACCTTTTTTTTATATAGAAACACCAAAGTGAACATTCTGCTATTCAGAGCAGAGAGGAACTAATCAATGCTCTTCACTGTGAGCGGTAACCAGGCGGATCAGTCCGCAGCCTCCATTCGTTCATTTAACGATTCAACATGACAGTAACACATTCATGTGCAATCCATCCTGACATCCTGACTTTTTCTTTACGAACTACAGGCCTACAGTGAGATATTGTGGCGTTACAGGGAACAGCTGCTTACCTGAAGACGGAGTCTCTTTGTTTGAGTCGTTTTCCTTCCGGGTACGAAGGTGTACATGACGCACCTGTTGGGTTCTACCTGCCTCTTTATTCGCAGTTCAACAAGTTCCTCTTCCTCCTCTCTTATCATCAAACTAATATAGACTCCACACTCCATGTAGAACCGTGTACAAATGGAACAGTAGCTCCACATTCAGCTCACAGCTGGAGAAACACATTTTTTTGTAATCTTTGTATGGAAGATCATTTCCGCCTAGAAAAAAACTGTTTATGATAAAAATAAATCAGAATGTGAAAACAGATTACCCAGACATCCCTGCAACATGTACATTACAGAACCCTGGCGTGATGTCAGCCAAAAAGTAGAAGAAAATAATTAAGACCCGTTAATGATAATCTTAATGAACAACACAGGCATTTATTAATATTGCAACGTGACATGTCAGCCAAAAAGTTACAGAAAATAAATACAAAAATACATTAATGATCATTTTAATGAACAGCACAACTGTATCAATAACACACCCATACAGCCCCGATGTGAGTCAGCCAAAATGTAAAAAAACCAATTATATATTGATTTATATATTGATGTCAGGGACCAGAAGGGGTGGTATATAACACGAAAAAAAAAATGAAATAAAATAAAACTAAGCATTAAAATACATGAAAGTATACTTGTGGCCCTTGAGGTAGGAGTGCGGCAGTGACCCAGCACCCCTGCTTCCCTCAGCTATAGAACAAGGCAACTACAGACATTGTTACTTTAGCTGTCTTTGTTTCTGATGTACAAGTTATTTCATATTTTTTTAAACTGAAGATTTGCTTTGGATTTCAGATTTCAGATTCTCAGATATGATTCTTTTTGTTTGGTTTTTCATTTTATTTTTGAAATTTGGCCCATAACAGATTCCAGTGTGAACAGGAATCTGATGATGAATGTCAATATAGATCAGGGCTCTCAAACTCAGATTGTCATTTCAAAGGAGGGCCACTTTAATGTTCAAGTACTACAAGAAAGTGCAATATTTCTGAAAATAAACTTAACACAAAATAAATAAATCCAAACAGCAGTTTCTATAACATAACATCTTTGTTGTTTGCAGCCAAACAACAAATAAAGCCCTGAAACCTGCTCTCTTCTTATCAACCATTTGACCTTTGCCATTATTTTGTGCCAAACAAATGTTATTTTAATTGTATATTAGGGATTAGTTTAAATGAAACAAAGAGACATAAGAATACCAAACATACTGCATGGCGTATTCAATTCTTTTTTATTATCACTACATATATTATTACAATACAGTTTGGGGCGATTTGATTGGCTCAGCAGTGTGGGTAGGCGGCACCCAACATACACGGAAATGTTCCCTGACAGACAGCGTTGGTGACCAATAAACGCATCATACTCTGTCATCGTCCCCTTTTTGCTTACGTGGAGGCAGGAAGCGTACTTCCCCCGGTCTTCCCGGTTGGAGTTCCTGCAGCAGAAGTTGTTTTGGAGGTGCGATGGCCGAGGATCAGACACTACCTCTCCGGGTCTCGGAGATCCAGGACCCGGCGGTTCTCTTCGAGCGGTACAACACCGAGCAGATCCGCCGGATCGAGCGCAAGGTTCGCGGGGAGATCGAGCAGAAGAAGGAGGAGCTGAGGCAGATGGTGGGGGAACGCTACCGGGACCTGATCGACGCCGCCGACACCATCGGAGAGATGAGGCAGTGCTCGGAGAGCGTCGTCCAGTCCATCCAGGATATGCACCAGTACTGCCACAGGCTGAAACAAGGCAGAGCCAGTGTGGGCAGCAGCAGACAGGAGGTGAGGTTAAACATCACCGGGTGAGCTCTGTCATCTTAGGAACATCAAACTTCCTCTAAAAAAATGAGCATTTCATCCTTTCATCCCATATAAATGATATGCAAACACACACTCCAGTTATAACATTAGTTTACACTCAATGAACGTCAAAGTGAAACGCTGAACAGTTCGGCGTGAAAAGATTTCCACACAGAGCATGTCTGTTTCTTTCCACGCCTCAAAACAAACAGCAGCGACCTCCCACAACCAGAGAGGAACTTTAGGCAAATTAAGTGCTAATGGGGAAATATTTGTCAGCCGAATTTACGTCAAGACCCTGTTGATTAATAAACTACCTGAACATTTACTTGGACGGGTGTGTATTATTGCTAACATGCAGGGGAACATTAAATTATTATATTTGTTAATGGACATTGGGGATATATCTTCATAAATGAATATTGGAATGCACTAAGTTTAAAACAGAATCAGCTTTATAGATGATTCTTTACAATTGCATATAACCTGAAATTATATTCCTGTAAATCACTACCTACTAGCCTACTACATGCTGTATATAAATATAATGTGTCTGTGCTGTAGAGTCAGAGGCAGTGGCAGGAGAAGTTCTACACCATGGCCTCCCAGATTAAGCTCCTGTTGGAGATCCCTGAGCGCATCTGGAGCACCATGGAGGCGTCCCAATACCTCCAGGCCACCCAGCTCTACCTGCTGTGCTGCCACCTGCACAGCTTGCTGCAGCTAGAGGCCGCTACAGGGGGCCACTACAGCCCCATCCTGGCCCGCTTCCCCATCCTGGTCCGTCAGGTAGCGACCACGGGACACTTCAGGTACGGGATGTCATCATGTAAAGTTATAATGGAGAAACTCCAGGCGTCAACATTGAAAAAAACTAGTGATGGATCCACATGCAGTAGTCCCAGCAAGATCCTGTTTAGTTAGTGAAAGCTAAGTCATAGATCACTAACTAGTCTTTCCTTTGCAGGTCCACCATTCTCCTGGACAGCAGGTCTCTGCTGCGGGGCCGGGCAGTGTCGGACCAGGCCATCGCTGAGGCCTTGGTGTCCACCATGCTGCTGGAGGACAGCTCACCACGCCAGGCCCTGGCTGACTTCCTGCTGGCCCGCAAGGCCTCTATCCATCAACTGCTCAACCAACCACAGCATGGTATTTAACCATCAGTAGAACCTGCCAACATGTATGCATTTTAATGTCAGAGTGTGACATAACATATTTTTTATCCAAAAGTCATGAAGCGAGAAATTTAGCTTGAAGGCTTTTACTGTGAGACAGAACGGGAAATGTTTGCAGTATCAGTATCAGAGATGTCTACTGGTTCATAAAGGCGTGTATTTGGTCCAGGGGCGGGGATCAAGGCTCAGGTGTGCAGCCTGGTGGAGCTGCTGGTCACCACTCTCTTCCAGGCCTACGCCGTCTTCTACCTGCCCCCAGAGGGAGGCCCCAGGCCGGGGGAGGGGGCCCTGAGCTGTGGCATGCTTTTTTCTATCCTGGAGAACGTCACCTCCACCACACCTGCAGGTAAACAGCTGAGAAGTCCTGGAAGTCAGGATAATTCTTTTGTCCATCTTAATCTTTTCCTTTTATTGGCCAGTCTCAGATACGGCTTGTTCTTTGCAACTCAGCATGCAGCATCCTGGAGTCGCCTCTTCACTGTTGATGTAGAGACTGGTGTTTTGCGGGTACAGTTTAATGAAGCTGCCAGTTGAGGACCTGTGAGGCAGGCTGTTTCTCAGACTAGAGACTCTAATGTACTTGTCCTCTTGCTCAGTTGTGCACCGGGGCCTCCCACTTCTCTTTCTATTTTGGTTAGAGCCCGTTTGTGCTGTTCTCTGAAGGGAGTAGTACACACCGTTGTCAGAAATCTTCAGTGTCTTGGCAGTTTCTCGCATGGAATAGCCTTCATTTCTCAGAACAAGAATAGACTGACGAGTTTCAGAAGAAAGTTCTCTTTTTCTGGCCATTTTGAGAGTATAATCGAACCCACAGATGCTGATGCTCCAGATACTCAACTAGCTCAAAGGAAGGCCAGTTTTATAGCTTCTCTAATCAGCACAACAGTTCTCAGCTGTGCTAACATAACTGCACAAGGGTTCTGTAATCATCAATTAGCCTTTTAACACGATTAGCTAACACAATGTACCATTAGAACACAGGAGTGATGGTTGCTGGAAATGGGCCTCTGTACACCTACGTAGATATTCCATTAAAAATCAGCCGTTTCCAGCTAGAATTTACCACATTAACAATGTCTAGACTGTATTTCTGATTCATTTAATGTTATCTTCACTGAAAAAAAACAATGCTTTTCTTTCAGAAATAAGGACATTTCTAAGTGACCCCAAACTTTTGAACAGTAGTGTAGCTAGTTAGCAAACTTTTCGCTCACATTTGCAAACTAATAGATTAGTCTCCCAAACCTAATGTGCATAAATATTATTTTTGACTGGGATGATGGACCCTTTCCTAAGTCCCTCCCCTTTTGTCTGTGTTCCAATCAGGTTGCCCACGGAACCTCTGACAACTTCTCTTTTCCTGTATTTAGAAATGCTATGTGCTAGACTCGTCTATGCTGAAAAGACAACCACATATTAAAGATTGTTGCTTTTAATGTTTAGCTAAGTCTGATGTGTTTTTAATGTTTTACTATTTGATGTTGTTTGGCTGCTTTTATGTTTGTTTTTTTGTTATGTAAAGTGTCTTTGAGTATTTAGAAAGCGCTTATAAATAAAATGTATTATTATTATTGTTAAAAGATAAAAGTGACAAATATACATATTGATATATAGTCACATCTTAAGTTAGCTAATGTTAGCAAAATGTTAGCTAACTGGCTAACTAATCATTGATGTAGATTAGCTAGCTAGTTAGGTAGTTCTGTGCTCTGTAGCTAAACGCTAACTAAGTAGCAAGCTAGCTAAGTTGAGATGTGACTACATATGTCGCGTTTATCTTTTAACCATCTTCAAAATGTGATTGTCTTTTCAACATAGACGAGTCCAGCACATAACACATCTAAGTACAGGAAAGGAGAAAGTTGAATTATAAATGAATGACAGTTGGATTAAAAGAGTTCAAATACAGTACGTCTACAAATGCATTCAGCAGAAAATCGGAATAATCCAAAGTTAGACTCAGGATTTGTTCACAGACAGCTACATTTTATTTGGGGTACAGTCTAGACCCGCTCTATTTGAAAAGTGTCCTGAGATAACTTTTGTTATGAATTGGTGCTATAAGAATAAAACTGAATTGAAATGGAATTAAATGTACTCTGAAGCACAAAGGTCCATCTGTCTCCTCAGCTAAAGGAAGGAGGGTGTTGCAGGACGAGACGAGTACAG